CATTTTGGCAACATGCATGCGGTCATTCCGACCTCTGAGTGGGGGGGGGGGGGGGCCGGGGGGTGATGACGAAATCAAGTCTGACCCTTGGTAATTGATTACCAAGACCCTGCGTGGATATTGATTTGCATGTAATAGGGTATTTTAGCAGGCGATCGTGCTTTTGATTTACGCCTGGCTTTGCATAATGGGGCATTATGGAGGAAGCCAGTTTAAGCCTCGTTTAGAAGAGATAGAAAAGTAACGTCCGTGGTGCCTAATTGATTGTATGCAAACAGCAAACTTCTTGTTTGCGGATTGCGTGCATAATGAAAGTCTAAATGCAAACAGGTATTTGTGTTGACTATTGTTTAGTAGCTATCATATTTTAGAACATTGTCATTGGCAGTTGTTTCATTAGGGCTACTTACCCTTTTTTCTTCTACTTCTAGACTCCGACAGCCACTGAAAGAAGGTGTCTTAATTTAGAAAAAAAAGAATACCATTAACTTCCCCTTTAAACTAGATCCACTTGTATGTTCTTCCCAATTCTATTATTTATGCTATTCTGATCATCTTTTTTCTTGCACATCTATCTCTCTATGTATCCCCTCTCTCTTCTCTCCCTCATCACCCCTCAATTATTAATGGACAGCTTTATTGTTTAAGTTGTATCAGTTATGTGCTTTTTGTTGTTAATTACATCTCTTATTTTGCTGTGTATCGTTTTTAACCAAAACACAAAATAAAATCACTCAATGGCTCTTTTACATACCTCATTTCCCTCCACCATCTCTCTCTCTCTCTCTCTCTCTCTCTCTCTCTCTCTCTCTTATATCCCCTTTGTTCATAATTATTCTCTATATCTCCATCCCTCCCAATTCCTTCCTTTTAACCATTTTTTACAAAATAAAAGTAGAACACAAGCCTTTTGATTGAATTCATTATCAATATAATGTAGCCACATTCCAAACTTGAGTGCAGAGATGGGTTATATAAGGATGTCAATGGTACTTGATACAACTATTTTTGTATAATTTATACAGTATAGAGAATAGGAAAATCAAAGATCCTAATTACCTACACATAAAGAAACATGAAAACATGGTACATAATAATTATTTAAAGATAAGTTAATGCCATGTTATCCTATACTGAGAAAGCAACACCTTCTATAACAAACAAGATGACTATTTGACTTAACATATTATCCTTTTCTAACATTTCACTATAATTTGATGAGTGATTGAACCAAACGAGAAGACTTTTTGCAACCTTAAACAGTACTTTAGATATAAACTATAGACACCCGACAAGATATTCAATAATTAAACAATTTCTGTTCATATGGTATGTCTTTTTATACAACAAAACGTTTCAAAAATAAAGATGTTGATGTGACATATGACCTTACCTTACAGGAGATGCATACTGGTATTGTGTTCGATTTCATATCTCAAGATATTTTGAAAAGAAATTTAAAAACAAAATCATTTTCTTTTGCATGATTTTACCAATGAAGTGAAATTCTGTCAACTGCGCCATCTTCTTTGTGTCGAGACTTTATAAATGTGCCCAAAATAAACATGCATGTCATAACAATACAGAAATTACATCCTTGAATATACGCTGTTGCGCAAAAAGTTGAATAGTTTTTTTCTAATCTCTTTTCATGATTGTGACAATATGATTTATACTCTTGACAGATACAATTAATATGTTCTCAGAATTTTATTGATCAATCTCTATGAATCTTTAGATTAATCAATAAAGTTCTGAGAAGATATAAACTTTATCTGTCAAGAAGAAATCATATTTCACAATCTATTCTTGAAAAGATGTAAACAAGATTATTCCAACTTTATGGGCAATAGTGTAATAAACTAAATCATGTGGTTCTGCCACTGAGACATGCTTGTATTCAAACCATAACAGCTAAAATAAAGAGTTGAGAAATAAACATACACTGTCTCCTTGTCTGCTTCAAACCAAAATCACTTGGTTCTGCCTCTGTATTCAAACAATCACAGCTACCATAAAGATTTAAGAAATAAACACAAAATATCTCCTTGTCTGCTTTGAACCAATTTTAAACTATGAACTCCAAACCAGAAATTTCATTCTAACAGTCCCAAATTTCTGTCACTGTTATGTCTGTAGAACAAAAGTATGAAATATAATATATATTTGAGATGTACAGACAAAATTATATGCAATTAATTCAACAGGCAAACATTTATTACTGAGTTTCAACATTTTATTGAATTGAAATGATTACAGAGTTGATATAACTATGTTTTAAAAAGTAGCACATCCAAAAGACATGAGATTATTTAGGAAAACACACACTGTTTATGGACGGAATTTAATACTTAATTTAGAGGTACAATCATAGAATGTGGCAGTGGAGATGCATGTACATAAAGAGTTGAGAAATAAACATAAACTGTCTCCTTTTCTGATTCAAACCAAAATCAATTGGTTCTACCACTGAGACAAGCTTGTATTCAAACAATCACAGCTAACATAAAGAGTTGAGAAATAATCATAAAATGTCTCCTTGTCTGTTTCAAACCAATTTAAACTAAGAACCCCAAACCAGAAATTTAAGTCTTACACTCCTGAATTTCTGTCACTGTTATGTCTGTAGAACAAGGGTTCACAATAAAATTAGAGATGTACAGAAAAATTTATATATACATTTTACTAAACAGGTAAAAATTTATTACAGAGTTCCAATGTTTTATTGCATTGAAGTGATTACAGAGTTGGAGTCCAGGATAGAGTTGGATAGTTATAACAATGTTTCAAAAAGTAGCACATCCACAAGATACAAAATTATTTAGGAAGACACACAATGTTTATGGACGGAATAAATTCCTGAATTTAGAGATATAATGAAAGCACATGTAGATGGAGTTATACATCCATTATTCAAAATCACACCACTCAATGATGTAGGCGGAATGACCTGTCAACATTTGAACATATATAATCTTCATAAAACTGATTCAAGTACCTTGCATTACAATATTAGCGCAACAATTACAATCTTACAATGTCAAAATAAATGGATATTATTATGAAGTATTAATCATGACAACATATGACTGAATCATATCTAATTAGTTTGTTTTAAGTGGGGCCCATATTTATAAGCAATTTGTGTTTTTGTGGTCCTGACCAAATATTTGTATGTTTTATGTATTCTCTTTTCTAAGGTATGTTTTGCTTTTACATGTATATGGTTCAATAACTTCAATTCAATTCAATTCAAATGTACAAGTACGCATACTCTGATCGGTATTCCATTGACAGTATATAAAGTAGCACTTTTCTGTAATATAAAGAAAATGGTTAATACCTTTATACATTTTTAGCTATATTCATACAAGCTCACAGACTTGAACATTGTAAAAGTGTAATTTTCATAAGCACATCGTAAACACGTGAATAACCCACCGACTACCTGTACTGAATTCTCTCATTCGCATAGACTTCCTGTAGAAAATGGGTTTAGATATTAAACTCTCAACTTTCAAACAATGCATGTACATGTACCAGGTATATAAAGAGTTGCACACAAAATAAAATTCATATATACAAATGACAGCACACATGTATTCACAGATACCAAGGTAATTTCATCACTTAAAAGTTGCTCATGTGTTGGTATATAGAGGGCAGCACACGGATGTATGCACAGGAGCATAATACACGTTGGCTCAGTGTTATGTAGTGATCGCCAAGTTGCTTACTTCACGAACGACTATATACCCAGGCGTGAACATCTTTAACATCCACTATTTCAAGCTTTGAATGCTGATTGAATACAAACAGTGCTTTCACTATGTTATAAATATACATGTATTACGATATATCGCCTATCATCGAGAAGAGTAAACCTATGTGAATGTATGTCGATGTTGCCCTAACAAAGATGGGAGAAGTTATCTATGGTCCGATGACAGCCAGTGACTATCATTCATTTTTATGTGATGTGAACGTATTTCCAAGGAAGCATCTTGATTGAAGGAAAAAACCACAGGGCCACGGGAGCAGGGTCTGGTCTGGAACTTGACATCATATTGTGGTCTCATGGAGAACAGGTTTATGAGTGTTAGGTCTTACCTAATGATCAGAACGTTCAATAACATTTTTGTGACTGTACATGGTCCTGGAGTGACTCCTGAGAATATCTCACAGGAATAAAACTGTCTCCTAAACCAAAGAAAATCTGTCTTTTGGATGACCTCATTTTGGAATCAGACTTGGTGGGCTAGGTCATACTTACAATCTCGAGAAAGTGTACAAGAAATATTTACACGAGAGTGTAACTCCATACAGAGTTTAGTGCGTGCACGCTGTGATCATTTGCCCCCAAAAGTGGACTTCTGGTGTTTGTATTACCTAGGTTACTTCTTGTCCTTCCACTGTACCCATTCATGTACATGATATACATGACATGCAGGATTTCTAAACATGCTGTAGAGTACTTTGAAGAATCCAGCAGGATTTCATTTGATCACTCCACTGTTAATCATAATATTTTCATAATCAAGCATGATGATGATGACATAAAATCTTTTTAGATAAACTGAATCTAAATAAACATGTACGGCAATCAAACAAGTATCATCTTTCAAGAATGTGTCAGGTCAAGATTTTTTATCATTATGATCCAGAAGCTAAGTCACTACCACTAATTTCTTCATGTGAGCCATCTCTCCTCTGATCTCGTCAGCAATCAATGTCTGCTTGCCTTCCAGGACAGCTCTGAGGCTCGTCAGGCTCTCACCAAGGTCCTTTTAAATTCTCCAGTTAAAGACAGTTTCTGTGGTTTCTTCATGATTCACCAAGCTAAGTCACAACCACAAATTTCTTCATGTGAGCCATCTCTCCTCTGATCTCCTCTGCAATCAATGTCTGCTTGCCTTCCAGGACAGCTCCGAGGCTCGTCAAGCTTTCACCAAGGGCCTTTTAAATACTCTCCAGTTTAAGACAGTTTATGTGCTATTTTCATGATTTACCAAGCTAAGTCACGACCACAAGTTTCTTCATGTGAGCCATCTCTCCTCTGATCTCCTCAGCAATCAATGTCTGCTTGCCTTCCAGGACAGCTCTGAGGCTCGTCAAGCTCTCACCGAGGGACTTCATCCCCTCAGAGTTCTCCTTCCTGAACTCCTCGATCAAGGCTCGCAGTCTACGCTCCAGTCTAACCTGCTCGGCCTGGAAGGAGTCCTCAACATCTCGTCTCATGTCCTTGAGCTCAGAGGAGACATGGGACTTTGCTTCTCGTTGGTCTGCTTCCAACTTCTCCAATTGCTTTTCCAGAGCATCTATCTTCTTCTTAAAGGTATCCTCCATTTCATCCTGGAAAATACAAATGAACAGGGTTTTGTATAAGACATCCTTCAAAATGGAAGGTATAGAAGGCAACTCTGATACCTTGTTCATGCCATCAAGACTAACACCAGACCAACACCAAGCTGAAAAACTTACATTACCCTGAATGAAACAGAATTGGCTGATTTGGGTTCAGCGTGGAGTTTGGTTGGTGGTAGGACTTAGGTAGTGGGCAGTGCAAAATCTCTTCAATGTGAATAAAACACAAGTGTGATTTGTTAATCTTGGTCTTTGAGACTCTGACACATCAATGGTTTTTATCTTTGGGGTCATGATCCCTTCATGGATTGTTTCAGACTTCGCTGATGGCGTATAAATGGGTTACAAATGAGATAATGTACCATTGCATTACAGGAGATAATAACACTGTCAAAGGGTACTCACAAGGAATTTCATCATGGGTTGTGTTGACAAAAACTTATAATACTGTATTAGATCAACTGGCGATACTTTAAAGAAGAGATTACTTGAGAGCAATAGGGTACCCTTTTGTAAATATGCTATACTTCAAATAAAATAAAATGATAATGATATCTGTAACCAAAGAGTTTGTTCTCTTTCCACTTTCGAACATTTAATGGATTCTGAATAAAATTGGAACAGGGGGCGTTTCACAAAACTTGTCATCAGTGACAAATGTCAGTTTTTGTTATAAGCTAATGAAATCCTTGCTTCTGATTGGTTATCAGCAGATTTGTCACTGATCTGTTGACATTTGTCATTGAAAAGGCTTTGTGAAACACCCCCTGGTGTAATAGTTACCATCCTCTTGTCTCTCTTTGATCTTGCAGATTCCAGTGTCATTGTCATGTCCTTCTCCAACTTCTGCTGTGATGAAAACCCTTGAGAACGAATGGACTCCACTGTCTGATGGGTTTCTTTGATCAGGTTTTTGAGCTTGACATCCAAGGCACTTAGGGCTTGCTGAAATGTGTCTTCTGATGATCTTAATCTCGCACTGTAATCAGATTGGTGCTGTTCGCTGTTCTGTCCCAATCTTGAAATCTTTATTTAAAACAAAACATTCATAAACAGCAAATTTCAACACAGAAACTAGCGATACATTCGTACTGATTGAATCAACTTTGATGGAGCAATCAGCATCATTATAAACTTAATACAAAGTACTTATGAAATGTTATAGATCATAGCATACAGATATAAACAGAATATACTTATCTAGTGACGCAACTTTCATAATTTGCAAATAAAGTTGTTATTCAGTTCTTCAGTAGACAAAATTGAGTCACATTTGTTGCATCAACTTCTTTGATTTACCGTAAATGAACCCGATGGAAACACTTTTGATTCTACATGCTGCAAAACCATACTCTTTTGCAACATGAAAGTTCCATTATTTGTTCTGGACGTCTATTTTCACGGCAAAAAAAATTAATTGCAAAAATTTAAAGCTGTGTCAGCTGTGATTCAATTATTCCATGGCCTGAAACTTTGTGGATCTGGACCACATGAGATTTTCGCTAACATCTCATGCAAGCAAATTTATCTGGTTTTATAGTAAATAAGTTGTCCAAGAGTGAATGAGAACTCCAACAATAAGAGTAAGGTTGCCTGAAAAAATTCTAGCATAAATCTTCACCTTCTCAAAAGAAATAATAATATAATAATAATCTGTACTTACAAAGCGCTTAATATGAAATACAGTCTCTAAGCGATTTACAGATATTATTACCCCGGTCACACGATTCCAACCATATGGTCACCGTGAGGGCACATGGCAATTACCAACACAAAGGATTTTGTCATCCAACCAGGTCCCTGTTTTTCTCCTGGGTATGGAGAATGAATTCAAGTGAATGAATAACTAAGGATCTTCAGCTTACTCACCTTTTCTTCCAGTATATTCTCTGTCCTTGTCTGGTTCCCGATGACAGTCTGCATCTGCATCATCAGCGTACTGAGGGTTTCGTACATCTTCCTCATGTCTCCAGATAGAACTGAGATATTGGCATCGCATCTGAAAAGGGTAAAGGGAGACAAATATTTGGTCCCAAAAAAATCAAACAAGGTTGTCTGGAGAGATAGTCCGGAAGTCAAATTCTTAAAGACCCTAGACTATCCGATGAAAATACAACTTTATATCCATAGAGAGCTGAATGAAGAATAAGAAATGAATAATTCAAATTCAAAGGAATATAAAATACTTTTCCTTTCAATATTTGCATAAAAGCAAATTGAAATCTCATATTCTGCACCCTTCAAATTACAGGTCAACAGGGGTCAAATTTGCAGCAGGTAAGGCGACGATATATATATGTAGCATGTGGACCCAATTGGCTCACCAATATAGCTGATGGTTTGGAAAATCTTGCACTGACTGGAAGCATCGAGGGGAGGAGGAGTAGGGGTGAAGGAGGATTCTGTGGATGAGTAGCTTAAGGAGTGGGATCTCTGAAAGTGGAATGGATTTCGGGGAAAATGAATTACTTCATAGAATATGGGACAGAGAGTTGTGGCACTCCATGGTCGCCAACGTCTCAGGATATGGCACGTAGAGAGAGAGAGAGAGAGATAGCTGAGGCGATGAGCCGTGCTTAATTAATGTAAAGTCATTGTGAATATATATGCATACTCCACATAAGATGATGTAATCAAGTCAAACTAGCTTTTAGGTTGACAACTTTAGATTTTCGATGCTTTAGATTTCGAGTTTTCAGAGAGCTGTTACTCCTCTGACAGATACTAAAATAATATATAATTTATATTATTGCAATCTTTCGCTTATAAGCTTTACGTTGTTGTAATACATTTATTTCATATTTTGACTTCCGACAAAAAAAGTCAGAGTTGGTAGCCAGAAGGGCATCTACATGTAAGAGACTAATATAGGATATTACATTTCTGGTCTCTGCAGATAATAAAAAATAAAAAAATCCATTGGTATCTATACAAATATGTAAAAAGCCTATCATCTTGTTCCTCACTGCTTGGGTCAAGAGAAGCAGAAGTGAAGATAGGATTTGTCAAATATGATACAGGAGATCTATCATTCTGAATGTCAATTTCTTTATCAGAGGGTTCTGAGTAATCCTAATATGCCAACTAGTGTTATAGAGTCAAAACTGCTATTGAACAGCAGTTTTCATTGAAGTATTGTATAATAGAGTATCTATACAAAACTTTTATGTGCCTAAAAAAAGTAGAGGTGTCAAGGTCTAGTGGATACGTCATCGGACTGTGGATCACATGGTTCATGGTTCAATATGCCATTTTCGTAATGTAACCAAATTTAATGCATAAGTCTTTGTGAAGTGCCTCAATACAAATTATTTCATTCACCTGGTAAGAATAACAGTATTTCAATAGACATAATCCAAACTGCATACATTATTTGTTGCCAGGTTGGACAAACATTATGGCTTGACCTACCTAGCAACACTTGATATATGCAGTTTGCATTCTCACTATTGAATTACTATTATTCTTTTCAGGTGAATGAAATAATTTGTATTGAGGCACTTCACAAAAACTTGTGCATTTAATTTGGTTACATTACGAGAATGGTCTATTCCTGCCACCAAGACATTAATCTACATTTGCCACTCTCTGCCCAGGTGAAGTAAATTGGTACCCTGTACGAAGAAATTCCTTGACTGCTTTACGGCCTTATTATGGTGGCTGCCGGGGTGATGATATTATACTTTGTATCATGCGCAATAGAGTAATTAATATTCTTTTACTAGCTGAACTTTATAAATGGACCTATTATTCTTATTATCTAACTCCAAAGAGTGGTCTTAACAATAGGTTCAACCTTACCTAGCTACACGAGTCAGGAGAGTGATTTCTATATTGAAGGCTTTACCTTGCTACACGAGATCGAAGGTCATTGACAGAAGTGGCTTGCTGGACTTCAAGACTCCTCATCATGGTGTTGCTCATAACACTGGCCTGGTCACGTCCACTGAGCTGGTTCTCTAAACTCTGAAAAGCAAAATTTCAAAAATTTATATGGACTATTAAATTTAAAGTCAAACTCTCCTGTTAAAGGTAAAGACAGTATTGGAAACTCCCCAATTTCAAAAAATGAAATGGAAGCTCTTATTACCAATCATGTGAAAAAATATGTTTTGACTAATATACGATGATGAAAATTTTGCCGGGAAACCGGCTACTAATTGATATGATGATGATGATGGACAGCATTTGTATGGCGCCATATATCTGTTTCAGATAACATTCAAACGCGCGAGCTCCTCCAATAAAATTATCATTTAAATGTCTGAAGGAAGATGTGAGTTTTGAGTGAAGCTTTGAAGTGGTCCAGGTTGTCAATTTCGAGAATAGATGATGGAAGGGAATTCCACAGGCGAGGAGCAATAGAAGAAAATGCCCAAATGCCAAATTTCTGACCATAACTGGTCTTTATCTTTAAGAAATTTCATGCATTATAAACCATTATTACCCGTATCAGACATCTGAGCTGGTCATTTACAAAACCGTATTGCCTTAGTTTTCATTAGCAGTGGGAATGGAAAGGTATATTCTTTGTATTTTCCTTGGTCTCCCTGCACGTATAGACTTTGCATGCAGAGACGAGTGAAAATATAGTCTCATATTGACCGCGCCATATTTTGTCATTTTCATTGCACATCTATTAAACCTGCGCACTTTGCACACACTCTATTGTGACATAATAATCACACCAAAGGCACACTGTTTGCAGTGTATCAAAAATGTTGTCAAGCACTGCTGGTTTACAAAGTTTGTTCAGTTCTTTAAGATTGTCATGGTTGATTTATGTATTTGCTCTAGATGTCTGATTTGGATAAGAATAAAATTATTGACTGGCTTAACTTTCGTTAGATACCACATATATTGCCCTCACAAGACCCATATTGCCCTCGTCTTTGACTCGGGGCAATATGAGTCTAGTTTGGGCAATATATGTGGTATCTCCCTCAAGGCCAGTCAATATTATACAAATATTTAATTTATTTATTTAATTTATTAATCAATCTTTTATCATTACAATTTTTTTTTTTTTGGGGGGGGGGGGGGACGGTTTGATTTGTTATTCAAGGCTCCTCATGTCCCTAGTTAGGGTTTTTCATTAGTTTAGTGCATAGCACATTGAGAGAGATAGTTGTGAGACACGACTTTGTCGCAACTATCTCACTCATATGCCATGGTTTAGAGGGTATATCACCATCAGCCCCATGTCATTACCTTTAGCTGGTAAATGGTGTTTTTCTTACAAAAGAAGTTAGAGGATATATGCAACTTTATCACTTCATCCCATATTTAAAACAACAAATTATGAATAAATTAAGACAACCTGTACGTACATTCAAATAAACAGATGCTTCTTCATCTTCACGGAGAGCCAAAAGTTGAGTTATTGCATCCACTTGACACAAACTTTTGTTCATCATTTAGTCAGTAAATTTCATTAACATAGAATAACTATGCTTTGTCAGGCCAGTCTTAGCAAAGCATTTGGATTGTAAAGAAAGGATTGCAACACATTGCTTGAACTTTTATTTTCCCTATAACCATGTAGTCACGAGACATGCAGATCCCTTACAATATAAAGCTAAAAGTAAGCCAGAACCCTAGATTAAAACAATAAAATATTTAACAACCTACTTGTACGAGATATATAAATACACCATTAATTCTTTGTAATAACCCAAGGTTACCCAATTCTAAAATTTACTAACCTCAATGTCATGGCTTAGAGTTTTCACAGCCAAGGTAACAGTGTGAAGATGTTCCTGCAACAGCCCCCTCATGTGTCGATCGTTCCGCATGTCATGATACCCATCGTCCTCCACCATGTGAGCGACGATGGCGTCCTTCAACTCAGAGGCACGCTCTATCAGCATACGGGAATTCCGGGAGTTACCCCTAGATGGAGAGTCCTGTTTTAACAAATAAAGCAATTATATGTATATGATCTGCCTAGATATAGACACTTGCTTCAGGATCTGAAACCTAGTGCAGAATAGATAGTCTTGAGAGAGAAACAAAACAAAAAAATAATAATAAATAACAAACAAACAGAATGTAAAATTGCTAGCATCTCACAAATTATCAATTAAATGGGGGAGGGGGGGGGGGGGGGGAGGAGGTGTTGATAGTATTATCACTCCCTGCCTTTGATGATATTCAGGAAAAGAACCGGTACTTGAATAAGGTGAAAGAATATCTGTCATTTAAAATAAAATTGAAATGTAGTGTCCAAGACAAATAAAGATAATTCAGATTTTCAATGTCACAAATTCTATGTGCAATTGTTTACTTTATTTAGTACCAAAAAAGACAGTGAGAGGCTGTCTGTGATGATGATCACAAAAAAATCACAGTTCTGGCTTCAGCTACAGTCATCAGTCGACAAATATCTCGAACACTTTCATGATATTAAAAGAAAGTATCTAATTAATAACTGACCTGAATATTCTCATGTGACCTTGCAACATTACCCCAGTTTCCTTGAACTTGAAGAGGGGGCAACCGGCTGGCCATGATATGGGGTTCACTATTTTCAAGTCAGAAGTTAACTGTTTCCAATTTACAAAGACTGAGCTGGCAGGATTGAGTTGTTATTCATCATAATGAAATGTTTACAGCAATCCTTCTGGAGTTGAATTGTGTTTTCCTTCTACATTTCTGCCACCATCTATAATAGACCCTCTACCTGTAGAAAAAAGAAAGAATGCGTATTTAATAATAATAATATTGGATATTTATATAGCACACATATCCACCATGCATGGTGCTGAAGGCGCTCCAACTATAGTATACCCCAGCTCTGCTGACAGCATTCAAGGAATCCCTTCCAACCGGTACCCATTTAACACCTGGGTGGAGAGTGGCAAATGTAGGCACTCAGATCAGCATTACTATACTTGCTGCGATTAGAATATGACCGACGTGGCTCATGCACTACAGCTTAGCCTTGCCCTTGCACGACTACAACAAACTTGAACAAAGTCCTAAATTGTTAAGTTTAGGACTCCACATCATCACTTCATTTCATTATCATTCATTAACACGTTAATTACGTATACCGGTACGCGGTACCCAGATTGCAAACGTTGTGTATCCGCTTTACACCCGACTTAAAATATTGCAATTTGAAGAAGTTTACATGCAACACTTCATAAATCAATTTAAGACTTAATTTATGACCGTTAGGACAACTATTTTCTATTTTAGTATTTACGATGCAAGTGCTATTCGATGCAACGATTTTGTGAGCCCCGTTTCAACTTTTATTTTTGTTTAAAACAAGCGGCTAGACACACAACCCCCCCCCCCCCCCCTCGTAAGACTAAGAGTCTGCTGTCTAGATTAGTCAGAGTAAGAGGGGGCGCTATGCCACTATTGTAGTTCCGTATCCACTTTTTTAGCAGTTTAATAATTTTAATATCCATTCTTAGCAAATGAATTTTAGCCCAATTTTTTACTAATTTTAATCATAATCATATATTGCATTTTCCACCTGAATTTGGATCACATCCGACATCGGGAAACCTCCGTTTAGGGCTTCGATGTCGACGTCGTTGCTAGTACCGTCTCTATACACTATAGCTCTGCACCTCATACTGAAGCTAGTAATAGTATCAGTCCAAAATTATGCAAACTTCTTGTATGGTTTATGGTATTACGCGCATGCACGATACCATAAACCATATGAGAAGTTTGCATAATTTTGGACTGATAGCTTCAGTTTGAGTTGCAAAGCTATAGCGTAAAGACGGCACTGAGCGACGACGTCGACATCGAAGCCTTAAACGGAGGCTTCCCGATTTCATATGTCATGTGATCCAAATTCAGGTGGAAAATGCGATATAGACTAGTCTATGATTAGGTCCAACTGTTAGTCTATGATTAAAACAAATAAAAAATTGGGCTAAATTTCCTTTGCTAAGAATGGATATGAAACTGCTAAAAAAATGGATACGGAACTAGATCTACACTAGCACCTAAGAGAGGGCTAGACTCTCTAGTTAGGCTCCCCGTTTGAATAGTTAATGATGGAATTTTAATGCCTTTTGTTTTGCCGTAATTTACTCTTAGCAACCAATCAATATCGATGATAAAGAAAACTTCAAATACATCTAGGTAGGGTGTCTGATCGCGCACCCGATGTTGTGTGCTAAAATCTTTCCCATAGAGATTGCACACATCCCTATGTGGTCTACATGCATTGCGCGACCAAGCAAAATTGGTCAATGATTTTATGAAAAATTTGAAATTCAAACCTTTATAACAAATGATCCTGAAGGTGAAACTCAATAAATGTGGTGTCATATGAAAGAGCAGGTTTTTCTCCATATTCCCCATAGGGGGCCACCCCCGGAATTCTAAATATATCTTGCTCAAAACAGCGATTTAAACATCGTTTCCATGGTAACTCGGAGATTTACCAATTTCACGAACTGCCCCCCGAGGGATAAGTTGGGCCAGCTGTAAAGAATATATCCATGCACTTATTTTTTCTCTAGTCCCAAGGGATCATTTGTTACAACAGTTTGAAAATACCCTTGCTCCACGCTTTGCATATCGTGCTGTGCATTAGCTGTGCAGCTTTTGAGCAGAAATTATAACTCTGCGTGAACCACTTTTCTGTCCATTCTGACCAAAATGCTATGAATATTGCACAGTTTTTGAGGGGCTGTATCTTTTGATAGAAACATCGGTGAGTCTTGAAATTTGGAAGGTATTATTCTGATTACATTTTTTACTCCAATATCCAACAAAAATGGTGAAAAACGATCCCAAATTGAAAATTGAAAAATCGTTCAGACACCCTAATCTAGGCATATATTTAGCCATGTCTAGCTAGGCAACTAAGCACAGCCGTCTGCTCGATGAAGCCGAGCAAACAAAATGTGGCCCCGAAGATCAGGGCGGAACTGCACTGATTGATTCTGGCATCCCGTTGAACTGACGTTGTGATTGCAAGTTTTGCAGAAGCTAGAAGATGCAAATCCGGCGAACTAACAAGTCCAAGAGATTGAAGATAATCCCAAAACTTTTGTAATAATACGCCTCATGTACAAAATTAATTAATCTGCTTATGTACGACAGTAAATTTCAAACCCTTTAATACTATCGTAGTATCCTGTAGCTTTCTTTGATGTAAATATAAGGTAATTTATTTTTACGTCTTCTTACTTTTCTTGGAGAGCGGCGCCGCAGTCTGTCTCCATGTAAACGAAATGTACTGTACTTTCAAATAGGCAAAACGAAAAGGAAAATAATTTGAGAGACAAAATTAATTATGGCTTCGGTGAACTCAAACACCGACAACTAACATCAGACAAGTCTTTCGCTTACCTATGATTTCAGGGCGGTAAAAACTGGGAATTCGTAGGGGTTGGAGCAATCTGCCACACCCCCCCCCCACCCCCCCCCCCCCCCCCCCCCCCCCCCCCAAAAAAAAAAAAAAAAAAATTAATTTTTTTTTTTTTTTTTTTTTTAAATCCAGGAAATCGAGCTGAAGTCTAATGAGGAATTATCTGTATTTTCATTTTTGTAGTGAACAAAAGGCTTCCAAAAAAAACTATACCAAATACCGTCAAGCTGGCTCGAATCCCTCTCCTCAGTGGCCCGAGGAGACCAACAAAAGACTAAATAATTATGTTTAAAACTCTGCTTATAGTAGACAGATTTGTCTGTATACCCGATAACCTGAAAGCTAGACAGATAAATCCGTCTGCTTGGAGGATTAAAAACAAGAATTGTCTTTAGAGGCTCTCAATTCAAGCCAGATCGATGTACTATCTGCTCTAAGTGGAACTTCTGAATTGATTCTTTTGTCAACCCCAAAGCGTAAACAGTTTGTATTGATAAATCAAGGGTTGCCTGCCCCATTCCACATAGGCCTACATGATGATGTAAACATAAAATATGTACAATTAAAAAAAAGAGAAATCAAAATAAGGTTACAGTAAGATCGCTATCTGTGACGTTACGGGCCAGGAGCTAGGCTTGAAAGCGACCCCCCCCCCCCCACAAGAATCACGAGGGAGGTATGTGTGGGAATGATCTTTTTGTCTCCCACAACATGTCCGATTTAAAAATTTGTGTCATACACTTAATGTTCGCCTAGATCTATATATTATATGCCGATCGAAGAGGGGGGGGGGGGATATTATTCTAAAAATGGTAGCTGTAATTTTTGGCTTTATAATTTATATAAAATTAATATTACATTTTCTACATAATTTGATAAATCCCCTGTCCCTGAATATAAGCCCCCAAAAGAAATAACCATATCACTCAAAGTCATTATATGCCCACAACGAGAGATTTTAACAGAAAAACTTTGAGAGATTAGAATGCTAATGCCAAGGGTAACGACATCATTAATTTTTTATTCGCAATCATATAATCATGAATGAGTACAAGCCTAGTCTATAATGTCAGTACTTTGAATTTACCTTTTTTTCACTGGGGTATACTATGGGGTAGTGATTTGAATTGGGCGGATAGCTGGTGATGGGTACGGGTTTTTCTTGGGGGCCGGGGGGGGGGGGGGGCTGGGTACCCCCACTGGCAATCCCGGGTGATCGAGGGGTACCCCCCCCCCCCCAAAAAAAAAAAGAAGATAATTTTGATATCATTTTAATCGAATTGGAGCATTTTATTTAAAAACAGGCAGCAAACAATGCAAGGCAAGGGGGGAAAGGATTAAGCCTTAACTTAAGGCCTATAACTATATAGTCAATCGATTTTTGTTTTGTTTTCATTCAAGCATATCCAGTTAAGAAATGACGTGTAGATGATGCAAGAAGATATCCGATCTATTGAACTACCATTCCCCATGCACAAAGCGTACTCACGATCAAAATGTAGGTGGGATTCATTCCCGATGGAGCCCTCGGCCCGTTTCCATGGTTTCTAATACTCAGCCGCCATTGGTCTGAAGTTCTGAACTTATAAAAAGTCAAAATCTCAGATCGAGTAGTAAATAATATACCAAAAAATATAGGTTAATTAATGAAACTGTGCCTACACGGGACCGCTATCTCACCCCAGCCCCCCCCCCCCACCCTTCTCCTCCTCCACCTCCCATCTCTCTCCCTTTATTCTCCTTCTTGTCATTAGAGTTCGCCGAGGTGAGGGGGGTGAGGGGGTGATAGGTAGGGGGATGCCGTTCCGACCGCGCTTCGGGGAGCTGACCCTGTTTTGATTAACAATACAAACTGTCGATACAAACCATCATTTGAAATTAGAACAATTATGATTAATAATACTATCAATAATAAACAATATTCATCCGGCATCTTTTGTTTTTTCTTCCTCAAACTAAGTAATAGCAAAGTTATAGCAGCTAGCAGGTACAATTCGATCTTGTTTATAAATTATTTCCAGATTTCAAAATAGAGTCAGCGTGTACACCACATGACCATTGATATGGTGTTGTTCACAAGCAGAGTCCACTTCGTCTACAATGACCTCCGTGCCGTGCTAAAAATAGAATGCGAACAAACAGAGATTGCCGCCTTCGTCGCGTCGTCATCGCCAGTTGCCCGGATGTAATTAGGGCAGATAGAGTTGGCAATCGATGTCGACACGGGCTTCGGTTGCTCGCTCATCCATCAAGCCGCTGCACCCGGCCGATCTGGCGCGGCCGCTACGTAGCGATAGCTTTCTTCATCTACGCACGCGGTTGGGGAGCCGAGTTGGTTGATGACGAAACGCCGTTCTGATTTCGGTAAGCAAACTCTTTAATTTGATGGGAATTCATCACGTTACATGTTATGCATCTTACTCATAGTATAACTGTATGTTTAAATGTATTTTGTGTGTAATTCTTTATGTAAAATTTTAGGAATTTAACAACGAACATGATGCTTGATTTCACTGCTTCCTTATTGCCAAGTTTACATAAGCTTCACTGTGCACGATTACAATCTTGTCCCACGTACTGACATTAATGTAAGTTATGTTGGGATTGTTCATCATCCAATAACAATTTGTTCATTATCCAACAAAGGCGAAGAAGGTCGTAAATATAGACAAGGTGCCATATTTCATGTAATTGATTAGCTATTTTGAATAAAATGAAGTTATAAAAAGACAATGAGTCTTTGTTGTTTTATAATTTTTACTTTTTTATTATTTACTTGTTGAGGCGTGTATGATTCAATTAAATTAGCCTAGATCTAGACCTCTAGATCTATGAATATTTTACCTATTTCTTGATTTGATTTTGTTTGGCAATTAGTCACAATCTATTATTTTTGCCACACACTATTTTATGAATTATTTACACATAGACTAGATCTAGAGGCTTATGGCTAGAGTCTTGTACAATTAATTACATGATAGTCTATGTCATAAATTAAATGACTTTTTTTCCCCGCTATTTTTTGTCTTCTTTTTAATTTTACTCAGTTTACAGTCTTTAGTTTAATTAAGAAAAAAATATATAAATAATAATATTGGGAAGAGACGGCCTAGTTGTACGTACTCGTCTTTACGTGTATGCGCTCAAATATCACCTCTGTATCCCCACACATATCACTCCAGCAAAGCATAGAGAGTCAATGCTAATGCGTATTGACCTCTAGCACTGCATGCTTGCTGTGAGGCAGGTATAATTATACCTATTCACAAATATACACACCACACAATATCGCATAGACTGTACACAATCATGTCGATGCAGCTGTTAGCAAAGTTTGACACTAGACTTACAATTTGAATTTTTTAATTATTCTTTTTAACATCAGTAAGTTGAAACAAATGTATTTTACTGCTATTTAGGTGTCATCAATTGTCACTAAAGTACCGATTTTGAGTGAAATCAGTTGGGTTTTGTACAGTAGTGTTTGAAATGTTGAGAATCAAAAGCACAGCTTTTACCACACAGCCAGGATAGTGATGCTCCTATGTGTGACACATATATGTACTTCGCACTCGCCCCACCATTTTCAAAATGCCATCTTCTTACCAATACCAGTCTTTGAGGTTCATTTCTCAGACATTCGGTTTTAAACCTAGGTCCATAAGCATGTATTTAGCCTTTAGGGTGTTACATTAAAATATACTTATTTGGGGGGAAATGGATCAAATGGTTCAATATGGGCCCAGTGGCAGTACTCGGTAGCCAAATTTAAGCCCTGCACCTTGTATGGATTAAATTAATGCTAAAGTTAAAGGTGTAATTTAGTGCCAAGATGTCTAGCAAATGGTTACTACCTGTGAATAGCAGTAGTGTCACTTTACTTCCTTCTGTTGGCATTGCCTGAAATAATCTGTCTGAATTGGGATAGTAATTATTGTTTAGAACATTAAAGAGCCTCATCACGATAACAAGCTATTTTATAGGTAGGGTGTCCGAACGATTTTTTCTATTTTTCCTTTTGGATCAATTTTCACCATTATGGTTGGATAATTAAGAAAAAAATCAACTACCGGTACTCGGAAGAACACATTTCAAATTTCAAGACTCACTGATGTTTCTATTAAAAGATACAGCCCCCCAAAATCACAATAATTAATTCATATTAAACTATTTTATTATGTTTTTGTTTATGTGTTATAAAATTTTATTTCACTACATTTTATTAGAATATATTATTAAATGATTAAAAACTGTAAAGATAAACAATACAATGTGAAATTAATGCACAGGAGTACAGCAAACATTTATTCTCAGTTTTTTTTAGATGTAGTGTAGATTCTGATATATTTATGAATAATTTAATAAGTAATTATTTTATGTATGGTTTGCAGGAAATCACTTCATCAAAGACTGGAACTCTATACATGCTGACCTGGTAACTCCATGGCTTCTAGTACCGTGGACGAAGAAGAAACCTATTCTCCTCTGAGTAACTTGGAGGAAGAAACAAGATCTCCCCTGAGTACCATGGAGGAAGAAACAAGATCTCCCATAGAGAGAATCTGCCAGGTTCTTTCATCCAAAACCAAGAATTCCGATGATGCAGATGACCAGGGTGAAAGTCTGTCTAACCCTGTGACGTCGGCTTTACAGTTTCGTTTCAAGTGTGACAAGTGTGAACAATCTTTCTCTTCCAAAGGCGGCTGTACGAATCACAAGAAGAGGGTGCATCCAACCGACGATGACTTGACCAGGCACTGGCATACCTGCGAACAATGTGGTAAGAGCTTCTTCTACAAGAAGCAATATGACAACCACGTTACTAGCTGTACAGGAAGTGTTGATGGCGATAAAGCAGGGAGTATTTGCATTTGTCCAATGTGCCCGTTCACATGCTTTGATAAGGTTGATCTAGCCCATCATGTTGTGAGTCATGAGCAGACAGAGACGGAGGATGGTGATTTGCTAGAACCGCCCGTCTTGGAAGAAGCAGTGTATGGCAGGGACAGCAATGGACAGTATGATGCTGACATCCCAGCGGCAAGTCCAACTCTGTATGTAGATGAATCTTTGACGGACAGTGTGATGAATGAGATAGAGCCGGAGATCATGCAGTCTGAGAAGGGGACTTGGCAGTGTCCAATGTGTCCCATCCGCTGCACGGAGAAGGATGTCGTCAAAGCTCACATGCGGGACCGTCATCTCAATAAAGTCAGGAAGCACATCTGCAATATTTGCAAGCGTGCTTTTACTCACAGCTCAGGACTAAAACAGCATGTGACCCGCGTCCATAGTGTTCCTGGACCCCCTCCAGACCCTGATGGAGCAAAGTTCTTCAAGTGTGGACTGTGCGGGAAGTCTTTCTCTCTGGTACGTAGCCTCATCAGTCACTGGCCTACCCACAAGTTGCAAACATGCAGTAGTCTGGAGAACTTTCAGTGCATCCTTTGCAAGGCCTTTTTCCAACTTCCATCTCAGCTCCAGGATCACTTCATCAAGCAACATCCTCAAGAAGCTACTTCTGGTTCTCTGCCTTCAGCCCGCGTATCTGAGAAACGTCCTCATCAAGACGACCCAAGTGACTCGCAGCCTACCATAAAGCAAGAGAAACTGGACTTCTCTGCAATAGACGATGACCGAGATTCTGCCCGAGGCATGCCAGGATTCCTATCAAGTCGGCAATGTCAGGACAACAGCTTTGACTCTGATTACCATCCTACACCTAGTAATACCCGGAAGATGAAAGCCACCACATCTGCAGCAAGTCCAGCAGTCCGCAGCAGTCGTTTGGGCCAGTCGCCCCATGCCCCTAAAGAGTCAGATGGTGATGATCGCCCTGGGAGTCACATCAGCAGTATGTCTGGCTCCGACTCCTCCAAGGAACCAGTAGTCGATGGCAACTATGAGGATACTGAGCCAACCAGCTCCCAGTCGTGCGCATCTTGCATGGAAAAATCTGGTCGCCTTCTCACAAGCTGTAAGCACTGTGGCATTTTTTTCACAGATTTTGTGATGCATACACTTCACATGGGGCTTCATGGACAGGATTATCCATTCCAGTGCCACCATTGTGGTAAGAATTGTCAGGACAAGTACAATTTCTTCACACACATCTACAGGGAATCTCATATGTAGATAGAATGGGTGGTATTCTCGAAAGCGGACTAACTTTAGTCCATGGTTTAATCCACCGACTAAGTATGGAATGCCAAGTGTCTGTATGAATATATTTTTGAATAATTTAATCTGTCACTAAATTAAAATAAAATATAATAACATAATTAATAAATAGCAATATAACTATGATATAATTATGTTATGATGGTAATTCAGGGACATATTAAATTATTCAAAAATATATTCATATGGACACTTGGCATTCCATACATAGTCGGAGGATTAAACCCTGGACTAAAGTTAGTCCGTTTTCGAGAATACCACTGTCTTTGAGCACATATCTGTTTATTCAGTTTTGAAAGAATTTGTCACCTACATGTACATTATGTTTTGAAGGGTCATAGGCTGGCTCTAAAAGCAGTTGCCTTAGTAGACAGATGTTGCTTATGTATATGCACAGGTTGTAGGTTTTCCAGGTTTAGATTCTGACATCGACTGTAAACTGAAATTCTTTTTAGAATGCAACTATTAATGTGCTCATAAGTTCACAGTGACGAAATGAAAGGTGATAAGTTACAGTGGAGCTTTCTTACAATATTGGCCTTAAATCTTGATGTTACTTTTTTTCTTTCTTACATTTCATTTTTTCACTTCTATTGTAGCATGTACATTTACACTCATGTAACTTTGCATATAAATTTTGTCTTGAACCTCAAGAACAAATAGGGATTACATTGATTAACAACATGGATACATTACCTCAAAATAGTTGACACTATAGGCCCTTATAGTTTGGAATATATTTTTATACTGAAGTGATCATAAGAATCATACAGTAAAAATCAAAATGTATAACGTGTGAAAAAGCCAATGTGTAACATTTACAGAAGTAAATCATTTTCTTGAACACATGGTTGCACCCATGATGTTATGATTATCAAGCTGTGATTTGTAGCTCTTTAGCCGGGTTCTTTTCATGCAAAAGCCCATAATTAACCTTACTTAGAATTGCAACTTTTTGTGGAAAAGGGCCATACATATAAAGTTATTATAAACATAGTAAACCATGTAAAATGCTCTGTAAGTACATACTGACTCTAGACAATAAAAATAATGATTTCGAAATCAACATTTTCATGTACTTTTCAATGTGGATACTGGAAAACATTATGTATATTTTGGAATTTAAAAGATATGTAAATTTGAAAACAGTCAAGAAATTATCCCCATGTAATACTCGATCACAAACTCAAAAGAAAAAGTTGGCCTATAGAAACATTCATCTTTTTTCTTCTTTCTTCTTTAATTTATGTGACTAAAAATGTGTGGAAATAAGTTTTATTTCTGCTATTCAATGTTTATAATATGTACAAATTGGCTTATTATACCACTGTTTTAGTTACGAGTCAAGATTGTTTTAAATGTATTTCAATGTGCACTTTCAAGTCTCTCACAGTTGACAAGAGCAACATTGTATTTGTGAAAAAACACCTATTTTTCTTTATTTGAAAAAGTTAATGAATTACTGTGTATTATACAAAAAAAAGTGCTCTGTGATTAAAAAAATTGTTCAATCATTTTGTCAGTTAGATGTGCCTTTCTCTTGTAAAAATGAAAGAAGATGATATTTTCATGTGAGTATATATATGTACAGTATGGGTTGTAATGGGTACTTTGATTTTGTTATTGTGATCTACATCAGATCATGTTTGTGAAATGTGTGAAGCCTTTTTGTGGACAATCTTCAAGAAACATTAGGGATTTAATTTTTTTTTAAATTTACGTTGAGATGCCTACTCATTTAACTTATGTACATGTAGGAGGATATAGAAAGTCATAATCATTTAATACAACATAACGTCACATTAGCCAGTTCTTCGACCGAATGGCATCATATCAGATGCAGAGATTTGCAGCACTTGTTTCCATGGATTTTCAATTGTGAGATTTGAGGTTGGAATACTGACATTGAGGCAAGTGAGAGTGAATAGACGGGTTTACCAACATATTCTTAATGTCATTTGGCAAGACAATTGATCTACATTTGCCACCCCCAACCCAGGTGATGTTAATGGTTACCTGGCAAGAATTAATTCCTTGAAATGCTAGAGCGCCGTAATGGCAGCACAGTTAAAGCTGGGGTAATAATTTCCAAATTTGTTAAGGCGCCTTGAGCATCCCCTGGGCTGGATATGTGCGCATTATAAATGTTGTTATTATTGTCATTAAAATTTTATGCATACTTTTTAAACAAAGGTTGTTGTTGACAACCTGAAGGCTTGCATGAGGCTTGCCTAACACAACAACAAAATATTGTATGCAGACTGGATTCCAAGTATTGTAGTTCATTCATTTATAAACAGGTTAATGGAATATCTTGTCACTTGTAATTAATATGTTAATAAACCAGTCATATTCTTAATGTCATTTGGCAAGACAATTGATCTACATTTGCCACCCCCAACCCAGGTGATGTTAATGGTTACCTGGCAAGAATTAATTCCTTGAAATGCTAGAGCGCCGTAATGGCAGCACAGCTAAAGCTGGGGTAATAATTTCCAAATTCGTTAAGGCACCTTGAGCATCCCTTGGGCTGGATATGTGCGCATTATAAATATTGTTATTATTGTTATTAAAATTTGATGCATACTTTTTAAACAAAGGTTGTTGTTGACAATCTGAAGGCTTGCATGAGGCTTGCCTAACATAACAACAAAATAATGTATGCAGACTGGATTCCAAGTATTGTAGTTCATTCATTTATAAACAGGTTAATGGAATATCTTGTCACTTGTAATTAATATGTTAATAAACCAGTCTATCGGTAGACCACACAAATACAGAATTTGCAAATTGGAATGGCATTCTGCACAGCAAATCTGTGCCTCATGTACTGTACCTTTTTTATGCTCAACGTAACATGTTCACATGTGTATTTAAAGGTTTTGCTTTTGTTAGGTTTCATATTATCTTGTTCACGGCAGAATAATTATAATTATGTTTTGAAAAAGAGTCCAATACTTTCTATATTTGATGACATGTACACCTCAACATTTTGAAGACATTTTTTCTTTCTTTATTATTTAATAGGAATGATTCACTTTTTTCACAAACGAAAGAGAGAATAACTGTTGGTAGAAAGTGAAATTATAGTGGTTTAAGTGTAAGGGGTTTGTCCCAGGCAATGCTTACCGGTATGTATTAGGAAAATATGAGATAGAACATTAAACCTGTAACCTATTTACACTACATTTAAGTTATTCATCAGCAAATTTGGAAAGCAGTCAAACATTACGAGACACAAATTTTAAGAAGGATCTAGAAGTAAACTTCTTATTTCATTTAGAGAAAGTATCAGTTAGGACGTATGTAAGTTCAGCAGTTATTTGGTTGATATATGGACAAAGCCATCATTCATGCATTAAAAATCTCAATAAATTGTAAATCATGTTTAAAGCTAATGTTCATCTTCCTACAATGAAATTTAGAATGAATTTATTACTCACAGAAATTTGTATGATTCTAATGTTCATATAAATATGGGGCTTACAATTCATCATTAATAGTTGAGCCGATATTTCTCCTATAATGAAATTTAGAATGAATTTATTAATCACAGAAATTGTTATGATATAAATGTTCATATACATATTACATGTACTTTTAAGGTTTAACTTGCATTCATCCAGAATCTTAAATTTATAGGCACATATGTGAAAATCCATCAGATTGAGGTTGATTGCAATGGTACAAATACTGTACTAGATCTACTACCGTAATTAGATGACAAGGAATGACATCAGCTGATTTTCATACTAAAGCACAAAACGCAGTGTACAAATTGCATGTGATATTGGCACTTCACTGTCTATGTAGGCAACAACTTTGAATGGTACCAACATTCGTCAGGGATGAGGAGTGTGGTCATAATATTTTAAATACAGTAAAGCAACATAGAACCCATTACATCAGGAGCAAAACACGTTTTGGTAATAGACCGGCTTACTACCATATTCATATTTATGGTTGTTCCTTACCTGGGGACCTAGCGACAAGTTTTTTCATCAACATGTTGTTGATAAATTAACTACAAAACTTGAATCCAGTCTGCATATGTATCTTGTTGCTATGTCAGGCAAGCTTTCAGGTTGTCAAGTACAGCCTTTGTTTAAAATGTTTGCATTAAATTTGAATATGTTAGTAAACTGGTCTATTGGGTAAACATCTTCATACATGTAGTGATTTCAACATTCTTAATTTTCTCATTGAATCATGTCAGAACTGTAAAAACTATTCTCCAATCATGTTATATCTTATGCTATCACCTCAAGTAATACCACAGTCACATTGGCAAGACCGACAACAGACCAACCAAAAGAATTACATTACCACTTTGCCTTTGGCACCAAGTCTGTTTGGAGTTGGGGTCTGAGTCGGTTTCGCCGTGTGACTGGATTATAACTAGTCAATAAAAACATGAATTGCCTTCTCATGAATGCAAGTCACTTTTCAGATGGGCATTCATTTAGAGTTTAAGAAACCTAAGGTGTAGGTCTTACATGTTATCAAGTACAGTCCACATTTTGTTTGTTTCACTTTAATTCTTGCAAGATTAAAAGTTTTGTTGTAAATATGTCATTGTGTGGCATGTTCTTCTTTAGTGTTCTGGTTATTACACGAGTCCCAGTTATGCCAAGGCAAATTAAATTCTGGCTTCTCATCCAGATATTTCTTTTAAAGGAGGTAGAGGGGGGGGGGGGTTCTGTGTTATTTTATGTGCCCCCCCCCCCACCCATACACACAAATTCAAAGGGGTTAATGTCAACATTTTCCTTCTGAAAGTTTGTTTCCTCATGCAGTACAGAGGCTCTAGCAAGTTGATATTGCACTTTGTGTGGTTCCGTGTATTGATTTGAGCTTTTTTATTGTTTGATTTTATTGGAATACTTCTTTCATGTCAAAGGATATTTAAAATATATAGAGAAGGGAAGGCAGGCTGATGAATAGGGATGCAGAGGGGATTAGAGAAAGTGAGAGATGGATAGAGAAAGAAAGGGGAGGAGAGAGAGTGAGATAGATAAAGAGAAGAGAAATAAAGTGAGAGAGAGGGGAGGAGAGAAAGTGACAGATGCATAGAGAGAGAAGTAAAAAAAAAAAAAAAAAAAGTGAGAAAGGGGCGAGGAGAGAAGAGAAAAAGTGAGAGATGGGTAGAAAGAGGGAGAAATAAAGTGAGAGAGAGGGAATGAGAAAAAGTGAGAGGAAAAGGGGGGGGGGGGGGGGGTGGGAGAGACGGACTTGGATTGAACTTTACTTTGTCTATTGTATCATGGTTCAGAGAGAACTGTATTACAGTCATTCGAAGTAGTGATCGTGTAGCAAATAGGAATCCTGATGTGAGGTTGTTGAAACCAGAAAAAAAAATGCAAAATGCAAAATGACAATATTCTGCTAATAAGCTTGAATACCACCCTTTAACTAAAGTTTCAAATTTCTCCCAACACAGGCACATGTATATAACTATCCCAGGTGTTGTACATGCAAGTGGCTTACAGGATAGAATGGACATCCATTGTCATGACAAAAAGGAGAAGGACAAATTTGATGTTGCCCACTAGGACATGTACCTTGATCCCACTTTTATGAGACCAAAGCACACATCCAGCATTGAAAAGTCAATGTTAGGTCAAATCTGAAAGAAAGGTAATAAATAAATTTCAGTCACGTGTGGCCTTTATGTACGAGTCTTACACTGACTGAACTCTATTTAACAATTAAAAAAAAACTTTATGGGTCCAAAGCACACATCCAACAGTTAAAAGTCAATGTTCGTCAAATCTGAGGAAGAAAAGGTAATAAAGAAATTTCTGTCACTTTGGCCTTCATGTACGAGCCTTACACTGACTGAACTCTATTTAAAAATTATAAAAAAAACTTTTATGGGTCCAAATCACACACTCAAGTTTATTAAAAATCATCATCCCCCTACATATTTGTATCTTTTTCATATTTCAACTTCCCTCATCTCTTTCTATTATATTTCCAGATCAACCTCTTTTGCCCGTTCTTTCATCTCTCTTTGCATTTTTGCTTCTTACATACCTTTCAACCTACACCACTCTTCCTTTCTCCCATATCAATTATCCCTCTCATCTATTATTTTCCCCAGTCTCTCAAACCCTTTCATTTCCATTACCACCTAACTCTCTCGATCTATCAATACGCCATTTCTTCAGTAATATATCAATAACTACAAACATTGTGAACCAAATTCCATGGCTTTCTACAACTCATTTTTGCCTTCTTGTATGACCAGACAAGTACCATTTTGATACAGGTTGCGGCATCCAAGTGGTATACCAATACCATGCATCGATATACACGTTTATCATTTCATGTCTGTGAGTGGTCCGTCTCCCTTCACAATTTCCATGACTTTGGGAGATTATATTTTAATTTTCCATGACTTTGGGAGATTATATTTTAATTTTCCATGACTTTGGGAGATTATATTTTAATTTTCCATGACTTTGGGAGATTATATTTTAATTTTCCATGACATTCCACAAGAATTTACTCTTCCATGACTTTCTCAGTCTTTTCATGATCATTGGAACCCTCAAAATCAATATTTTCATTCTTTCCCCCTCTTTCTATATATCTCTCACTTATTCCTAAATAAACTGTAACTCTGAAATCAAATGCTTCACAGCAATAATTAAACAACATTTGCCACTTTTTTTTTCTTTAGCACAAATTGATACATTATTTATTTTGCCATAACAAAGCAGCTTTGCATCTTTCCAATCATAATTATAATGGATATGATTTCAAATCATATCAGAAATGACATTTACTGTACAATGATGGCATACTGGACACAACGACACACTCATACACCCTCCCTCTGTTAATACTGACCATCAGCATTAAGAAAATGAATATCTATCTACGAACATGATGAAACTAATGACATTGGGAGAAAGTAGAAAATTGTAAGTCGATTAAATTGGCCACATTATGAGATGAGAGTTGAGAAGAGACACTGGGGTTCAGAAGTAGAGCAGTGGTCCTGTGACCGGGATGTCCTGGGTTCAAAACCAAGTCGCATGATGCGCTAGTGCCCCTTGGAAAGGTATTGATCCTCGTGATCAAGTCCCTTGGAGAGGACCTTAAGCCGTCGGTTCCCTGGGTGCTTACTTACAAGAATACACATGCTTTCCTAAGCAGTCATGTAAAAACAAACATATTCAAAAATGAAAGTGATCTTATCCTTGATTCACCTGCATCAAGTTGTATTAGTCATTATTAACCCAATCCCTCCCAGAACCAGGTGGTTCCTGTATTAAGCCTATAGAAATTGGAGAATTCAGTAAACAATGGGGTAAACAAATATCAAGAGTGTATTGGCAAGTTCTATATGCTTGTTCTCTTTGCACTAGCTGAAAGTTCGCTCTTAACATCGGCAACCCAAACTGGTTTTACGAAATTTGTAGACAAAACACCATCCATGTATTCTCAAAGCCACGAAAGAACAGCGCAGGCTCGTTGATTTCGTGTGACTGTTTCTTCTCTCTAAATAATATAGATTGTAATCTAAACAGAATTTTGTGAATATCAAACTCATTGAAATCATCTTCATATTCCATCTAGCAGCGGTGTAAATTCTGACAATAAATAAAGATGGCAACATCTAACAAATCAAATATAAATGAATACAAATTCCACATTCACAAATTTGCTTTATGTTTCTTGCTTTTCAGCATAAGAGAATGAAGCCAATATAGGTGAAGTACACTGCATACCATTTGCTTAAGTACAATTCTTCATATTAGCGCAGAATTTATGGATACGGTTACATGCATCTATCTGCATGTTTGTGAACTAGCAGTTCAGCCAAATAGTTCTTTCCTTGTGTGAAATATATTGTACTTCTCTTCCTTGCAGTTAATAAATCTCCATTTTCTCAAGACAAACTATACATAATTCTTTAAGCTCGACTACCAATGTACAACATAAACAAAATAAAAGGTTTTCCAATGAACACATAAACCCTAACCCTCTCCCATCATCAGCCACATACACGGTAGGTCCATATTCTTTTAGGCAAAATGATGAATGATGTTGACTAAAGAGAGAAAAAGCAGCTGCAGTTGTCATGACGATGCATTCTGACCATGCAAACATATAGAAGCCCATACTATTTGTAGGGTTTTGCTATTTTTTTTTTAATACTAGACACCCATTCTCAAAATATTAAACAAGATATGCGACATACTTTGACTCATTGCTTCCCAGTGCGTTTACAAATACCACTTAAAGCAAGTAGTGCGTCATCTGTTTGGAGCAAGTAGGGCGTTCCATCTGATTCTTTCAATACATAATTCAAACCCTTCTGGCTCTCAACACATGGTAATATCATTGATATGGGCACCATGCTTCATAATTGTCATTCCTCCTATTAAATAACTCAGTTCCTGGCCATCCAGAAAGGGGATCCCCCTGGCCCCGGTTCCCTTCTCTCCACGTTGTAGTATGCCGCCGATGACGTCGCCGTCGATGTCGAAAGCGACGATGGAGGGAGCAGTCCCCTCGGGGGAGGAGGTGCCGCCATGTAGCCCCCCGCTGACGGGACCTGAAAGTGAGGCCCCGCATCGAAGCGGGTTCTGGCGCGTCCAGCCGCCTCCTCGTCTTCGTCGGAGTCTCCGCTGGTATCGTAGGAGACCAGTCCGCGTCCGCGCTTTAACCGCGGTTCATCCGGCAAAGGGATCCTACCTCCGTGAATATCTAAGCCTGCTTAATTTACCGTAGTTACGTAACAGGTGCAAGATCAAGGTGAATTGACATGACGTGAAATGTGTTTTCAAGGAATGTTCACACAACACAGATTTTGATATTAATTTTAATGCCAAAGAGTGCAATTTCAGAAGTATTTGTCAAAAAGATGGTGAGATTTTAGTTGTTGATGTTGTATGTATAGCACAAAATAATAACCAAAGATATTGTTGTTAAAGGTTTCGATACATCAACCCGTTCCCAAATTACGCAATGAGATAAAAAAATGACATATTAAAACACATCGCATTTAAGAGAATAATCCAGTATGTTTTGAATATATCGTCAACAAAAAAAACAAAAGAAGAAAATAAAGCATTAATATATTTGAGGGAGAGAAGTGAATACGATTAGTATTATTTTAACCAAATAATCAAACCATGTTGAATCCATGACGCAGAGATACACGAGGTGGGTTGGTTGTTGGTCAGCCATGTACGTAACGCCACATGAAAGAAAACAGAGAATGGGGGGAGAAAAAGAAACGAAGGAAGAAATGTGTTAATATCTATCCGGGAGACAAGAGAGAAAAGAAAGCAATGAATATAGTCATGCAAGAACATGCAAAGGCATAAAAAAATCTAAGACAAGATCAGTTCGTTAAATACAGAAGTTTTGAAAATGATATGAATGATAGTCCAATACTTGACCCATATTTATACAGAGGGGGGAAAGGGATAAAGGAAAAGATTGAACATTAGCTCAAGATAAATTTTAATAATCATACTGTAATAATAATACTAAAAATAAACATGATCATTACACTCAGTACAAATTGACATATATTTTCATTTCAATTGGTAGGAAGCTTGCGTAACTTGGGCTGAATATGTGCATGAGGACAATTATAACATCATAGATTGTCACCCCACACTTACCTTTAGAACGAAAGCTGCAAAGGAAAATATGAAATTAATAGGGAATCTTGAGTGACAACGCCACAAGTACCCAGATGAAAGCAGCGTCCAAAGACGGGATCTGTCTTGACAGAAACTCAGAGTATACTTATATTGTTGTAGAAAACAAGTATGAACATATTTGTTTTATTTTTTAAAGGAGAAGTGGAATAAATATCACATTCTGTGTGTGTATGTGTATAGAAAGACCCTGTGTATTGTTGTACTTACCTGGAGGGAGCATTAATCTCTTCCTTGCTGCTTCTTGCATGGCTTGTGGGTTAGGCGGAGGAGGCATCAACCTAAATCAAGAAGGAAAGGAAAGAGAAATTCAATTAGAATGAAAGCCAAACAAATATAAAAACATTTACCGTATTTTCCGGCGATAAGGCCGCACCGCCGCATAGGCCGCACCCCCAACTTTGACATTTCAAAGAGGGAAAAAAAAAAAAAAAAAAAAAAAGGAAAAAAAAACAAACGGACAAAAACAAAATAATCATAATTTTCTCGAAAACGCTATTTTTTTTTACAAACTGATACCAAATTCATCCATATTCTTATAATTTACCGGAAGTTTAGCTAAAAAAGTGATCGCAGGCAGATTTGGTGTCCGATATACCCCTACCACAATGTACGGTGTAATGCAAAACTGCATGAAATGGGAAAAACAAAATGGCGACTTCGGATGGATGTTCGCGGCAGCTCCGTTAGACTGTCCCTTCCTTTACCTTCGCAATGAATTGGCACGAACTTAGATCAAGATCTATTGGCAAATGTTGTGTTAGGACGTTTATTTTCGTCTTCATGTCAACAATGCAAGACAAAATTGCCGGTAAGATGTTTGGAAATGTCCTGTACCATAGTGGTATTGTTATTTTACCGTTTCTAGTCCCATAGTGCAAATTCGTGTTGGTTTTGACTTTCGTTTTTTTTTTTTTTTACTCTTCCGCACCCCGACTTTTTGATATTTTCTCTTCCAAAAATACTGCGGCCTTTACGCCGGCAAATACGGTAACAATAATAATAATAATAATAACCTTTTTCAAGTCTACTCCAACTTTTATTAAGTTAAACCGAAAATGGAAATTCTTTTTGCCCAATTGATCGTGAGCCCGGCAGCCACTGAGCAGCGCCAAATCGACGTTGCTCTATCCCCTATTGTTAAACGCCAAACAAGGTAGCAGCAACTCCCGTCTTTTAACGTCTTTTGGTATGACGCGGCCGGGGTTCGAACCCACGACCTCGCAGTTGTGAGGCGGGTGCTCTACTGACTGAGTTAACACACTAGGCACTACAAAACCACCAAATGGTCATATATTGGGATTTTCATTTCAAGCTTGATGAAGGTGCATTTTGTCAGTAAGGTCAAATTTTATAATAACTAGTTTATAATAGTTTCTGAAAGACTATATTTTCTTCTACATTATTTCAAAATCTAGAAGCGTAAAAAAATCTATAAAAGTGATGTTTTGAGCAGCTTTGGTAGACATATGTTTCTCTGATTTTGATTTTTGTTGTTGCAATTTTCCCAGCCCCATCCCTAGTGATATGCATGTGCCCCTCCCCCTTCTCACCTTCTATCTTCGGGCGGTCGTCCTGGCATCCTGAGCAACGATCCATGACCTGCAGCCATGGCTCCGGCAATACCCAAGGGACTGTGACCGGGGGGTGAGACACCTAGATTAGTCATTGGGGGTGGATGGTGCTAAACAAACAGGGAAAAGAAAGCTGTGTTAATATCAGCATGTCAGCCAACGAAGCCTGCAAGATAAAAGCAAGTTATCGAAAATATTGTTCTCTCATATGGCTAAGTATTACAGCAAGCTCCATTCTTTGAAGTGTGATATCAAAATAATAATCATGCAGAATATAGTATCACCGGGGCTATTACTCATTCTAAATCTCCTTCCAAAACTGGTATATTGTTACTGTGCACTTGCTATACCCTCTCTTGGTCTAAAAACTCCTTTCCTGGAAAAATAAAGAATATCTAAACAGTATGGAATGGATAAAATGTTCATGTCTATCTTTTTTGCAAATCTCAGATATAGAAAGTTTCCTAAGATAACAACGATTAGTTTACAAAAAAATTTCATTCATTTCCATAAACAAATGGCAGTTTTAGCTTCCTCAGTTGGATGTTCGCCATCTAAGAAATCCAGATATTCGCATTTGATACACAAAAATGTACATATGACCAGGAGATAAACAACGAAAATCTGCATAACATAACAGTTGTAATGTTCATTTCCAAAGGTTTTCCAGGAATCCTAATTTCAACATTACCTACACTATATGACAGGAAACAAATGAGAAGGAATATGGGAGCTCAATATATGCCAGAAATAATCAATCATCTTCCCTCCATCACGCCTGCATTTTCTAGGAAATATCAGAAATAAACTACTATGATGAGCAGCATCTTTCATTGCTCTCCTCTCCTCCTCAATGAGTAGATCACATGTCTCCTGATTGCCTAGCAGAAACATAAAAATGGTCTTGGATTTTCCAACCAGCAAACGACATGCCAGTGCTGCTGTGCCTCCTTTAAAAGCTCAGTTTGTTGGAAAAACAGGTAAAAATAGAAAACTAATCCTTCGGAACTCAAGAAAAAGGTATAGTAAAATGAATATTTGGCATCTGTTTGCGGAAAGAATCACCATCACCAAGACTTGGAGACCGGCTTGGATAGCCATCAGAACCAACCTATGCAGAGATGGGAGAATTATAGTTCCACTGCTACCAGTCAAAAATAAATTCAGAAAGTACCTCCATGTTGGTGTTTCTTTTGATGAAAAAGTATCTGGCAGCATTCAAACCTTCCAGACAGCTATGTTACCTCACTTGAAAGGAAGTCTGTATATTTAGCTCGGGGTCAAAGGTCAACAAAGGTTGAGCAGTCAATGGAAATCCTCTTGCGTAAGGTGTAACCTGAAACACTATGGCACGCAAACCTGGCCACTATATAGTCGGCTTGGTATAAACATGCAAGAAAGTGAAGGCATTAGTGATACAGTCTGCAGATGGATAATGCTGATCCCACAAACTACATGTACTCCTCAGGTCTCTCAGCTGGCAATGGTATTCGTCTGGTGAAAGTTGTACCCTGTAACTCTATGGAAGGCACACCTAGTCACTAAATCAGTTAAAATGCAAGAAATGGGATGGGTTAGGAAGATAATGGATGGCAGTCTTAGAAACGATACCTCAGGTCTCTCGGCCGGCAGGTCTTCCCTGAATCTCCTCTTAACAGGCTGCTGTGGCTGGGGTGGTTGCGGTTGTTGTTGCTGGAGTTGCTGCTGTTGTTGCTGTGGAGGTGGTCCTAGAGGTTGCTGGAGCACCTGCTGTGGCTGGCCCATCGCTAGGCCACCACCGGCAGGCTGTTGCTGGACTGGTAGCTGGATCTGAGCTTGGGCTTGGGCCAGCTGTGCCTGGGCATGGGCCTGGACTTGGGCGTGAGCAGCCTGGACAGCTGCTTGGGCGTGCGCTTGGGCCAGGCTCTGCTGACCCTGGGCGTGAGCTTGGACCAGGTTCTGCTGACCTTGTGACACAGCAACCTGCAGATGTGGTATGAGAAACGACAAGGGAGAAAGTTTAGTAGTTATCCTGTACGAGAGAAGGTGATCATGTATTTGATGAAAATTGTAAACTTTCTGGACTTTTATCTACATACAGGTCTAATTTTACTAAACATAATCATGTCCAAATAGGAATAATGATTTAAAGATGGTGGCAAAATGCAAAATCAGTTATACATCTACACAAAATATTTTAAGTGAGCTGAGACAGTAAAGAGAGATGAAACGAAGTAAAACTTGAGGAAAGCAGATATACGTGCATGAGAATAATAAGATCCGAAGCCACAATCCAGAAGTTAACAGGTGAGTAAGAAATACTGTAAAGAACAACATAGTGACAGAGAGGTACTTCGAGGAGACAGTACAAGTAGATAGACAAACATGAAGAGTAAATGAGGCAGCAAGATCCAAAGACAGAGAGAGAGAGGGATAGAGAGAGACAGAGAGAGAGAGAGAGACAGAGAGAGAGAGATTTAACATGTGAAAGTGAACCAACAAATGTGTGAAAGTGAACCACTTTTGTACGCGTCCCTATTGGTTCACTTTGACAAGCGCCGATTCTGCCGATGTTTCACTTTCACAAGTGTGAAAGTGAACCAAATATGATGTGGAGCGCCATCGTAGTATTACGCACGCCAAACATTATTATTTGTATTCTTTAATTTCTTCATTCTATTTGATTATTTCAACTCGGAAGTGTCTCAAATAATTTTCAAAAATCAAAGTAATATTTTAGATTTAACTCCCTCTCGTGTTTTATGATTTTGAATCATTTAAAGTAAAAAATGATGTACTTGATCTCTTGATCAATTTGAAGCTACGAATTTATCGAAAACTACGCTGTCAACGATCAACTTGGGCAGAGTCGACGGTCCTGAAAAGGTAGCATAAATTTCCTTTTTTAAAATCATTCTGATTATTTAGGTAATCTTATTTTGCTTCCGTATTGAGAAAAGTATATATGTAATGAGTTTTAAATGCTGATGAATTAAGCAATTCAAACTGGAGCCATAAGACAAACCAAGAAAAGTTTTCATTTTCAGCATCCAGCGCTAGCGGGGAGTGCGCCTACGTAAAGCCGAAGCCTAAGGGGACATCGCAGCGTCGATGACTGTCGCGTCACCGCCGCGGCCTCGGTGCAGTGTGTGAAATAATCATGATGAATGTTAGACTTGGACCTAATTAAGAGGGAGGGTATAACGTAAGGATACATGATAAGAGGTCATACACTACCTAACTTCCACTTCCACTGTACAATATAAAGTATAGAGTCTAGGTCTAGTTAAAAAAAACAGATCTAAAAGTAGGCGTTACGCCGTTAGCAACTAACTAGATAATACTAGATTAGCTAACACTACAGTAACACACTAACACTACAGTTGCACACTTTGCTTTCAGCAGCCATTAAATTTATATTAATTCAGAATGTTAGTGTTGTAGATCTAGATCTATGTGCATTTCATCTAAACTCTTTTACCAGGGGCGGTATTCTCAACATTGTAAGTTTTGTGTTATCTTTTGTTGTATCTTCCAGAGATAACACGGCTGAATATTAATAAGTAATATTATTGTAAGTTGGTATTCTAAAAATCATTTTATCCCTGTGTTATCTCTTGAAGGACCGCCTCTATCTTATCTTTGACATGCACATTTTTATGGACCCTACCAATCAAGATCTATTTTATTTAGTCTAAGCATGATATTGATAAGTAGACTAGGTCAACCAATAGGAGAACCTTATGTCATACTAAAGATCTTGGGCGTAATTAGTTAATTGAGCGCTTATTATGCACGTCATTATATTCGCTGTGACACTTGGATCATGAAGACAAGTCACACTTTCACTTATAGTGGTTAAGAGACATCACACATAAATCGTCATATCCTAGCCAAACTTAAAATTGGTTGTTTGGTTATTTTACCTGACTGCTAAGAAAGCATAAATGCTTGTAAGTAAGCAACCCGACGGCTGATGGCTTTACCTGGTAGTGAGGATTAATGCCTTACCAAAGCGCATCGACTTGGTTTCGAACCACTGATCTACCGACTGAGCTATTGCGCTTCCTCATGTAATTTCTTAGAAAGTTCTCCGATCATCTGTGATGTCTCCGGTCAACACAAAATTTTCTTCCAACTCGTCTATTAGTAATAGTATTGGCATTTTATCACTACGAAAGATACAACCCCCCCCCCCTACCTATTGTAAATATTGTTGTAAATACTATGCAAGATAAGATAAGATAAAAGATACAACAATTTTCAGAATACCAATTATTTTGTCATATTATCTATCGTACGCATATGCAAATGAGGATTAAAGCCACACTGTCCTACTTGTAGCTACTTGCTCCCTCTATAGAGAAAACAATGCCTAATCAGTTACCATTGATCCCCATGATTCTCTTTTAATTATGTTAATTAAGAGCTGAGTTGATGAGATAACCATAACCACCTGTCCAGTGACCGTGCAGGGTGGTGTAATCCCTCCTATAAACTAGTACAGATAAGCTTTAAGTGGGATTGTATTAATAATACACATGATTACAACCGCACAAAAGTTTGAGCGCAGGCGTGGCCAAATAAATGAGAGCAGAGTAAAGATACAACAAAAGTTACAACAATTTTCAGAATACCAACTTTATCTTATCTTCAAAGATAAAACAATATTACAGATAACACAGGGTTCAGAATATGGCCCCTGGTTTTGAATAATAATAATAATAATAATAATCTTTTAAAGTTCACTCCAAATTTTATTAAGTTAAACCGAAAATGGAAATTCTTTTTGCCCAATTGATCGTGAGCCCGGCAGCCACTGAGCAGCGCCAGATCGACGTTGCTCTATCCCTTATTGTTGAACGCCAAACAAGGTAGCAGCAACTCCCGTCTTTTAACGTCTTTTGGTATGATGCGGCCGGGGTTCGAACCCACGACCTCCTGGTTGTGAGGCGGACGCTCTACTGACTGAGCCAACGCATTTATTATCATCTACTTTGATCTTTGATCTTTAAATACGAGATATACATGTAGAATTGTAGATATACTTTTGTTTTCATTCAGAGTAGATGCTCTATATAGATTTCACATATACTGTTTTGATCTGAAGTAGATATTGATACACTGTATAGTTATAATATTTTGTAGTTATATATACATAGTTTACAGTACATTTTTTTATAGTAGATAAGAATGTATTGAATTGATCTGTAGTATATATTGACTTACTGTTCTATGGATGTAGATATAATGCTTTGATCTGTAGTAGATGTAGATACACTATTTTGATATATTTAATTCTGTTTTTATTTTTCAGATAGAAGGTAGCACAGCTATTGAAGTTCTGTTTGGGGATGATGGAGATGGTGGTAACTGGTAAGAACAGTGTTGTTGATTTTATTTACTTTTTTTCAATTTAATTGTTTTTGTGTGTATAATTGATTGTCTAAACCACACATATTTATTAATTCAATATTGAAATTTTAAAGATATTTTTTGACACAGGGCTGTATTTCATTAGAATTTATTTGTTAAAATACTTGATATAAATTCATTAATAGCAAATTACAGTCATAATTACTCATTCAATATTAGAATATTATAAGAGTAAGGAATCAATAATTATAAAATGGAAAAGAAAAATGATTAGAGACTGGATGGAGGAGATATGATAAGTGAACAAAATGTGAGGTAGAACCAGTGAAGCATGAACAACTGAGGCTCATTCAAATATGATGCAGTAAACTGCAGCAAAACAACTCCGCACTTTTTAAATGTGTATCAATGGCAACTGCGTGTAACAAAGGTCCTACGCTTATTTACTGAGATCTGTGTTATAAGATAAAGAAAGTTTAAGCAGATTACGGTTCATGTCATTAAACAAAATTGGCAGTATACTGCGGCATAAGTGGACAAGGCTTAAGAAGGGATACCGGTAATCACCATTATAAGAATAATAAGAAAGTAGGTAGGAATAAATTAATAATAAAAATAATATTACGCTTTTATATAGTGCTTAATACATCAACAATGTATGTACAGTATGCATCACCAATGTGCTTTACAGATATATTATTACCCCGGTCATCAGATTCAGGCTTGCCCGCACACAATGTATGCTCATTCTCTACTCCCTTGGGAGCTTCCAGCCAGGTGTCATTTCACAGATGCTCACAATGCTGAGCAAACTACTTTCGCATCCTACCGGGTACCCATTTAACACCTGAGTGGAGAGTGGCAATTGTAAATTAATGTCTCGAATTGGAATTCAAGTATAGGTTTATACCACGTAGAGGTGCCGTGGTCGAGTGATATGTCACGGGACTGTGGATCACAAGGTCCGCGGTTCGAGTCCCGCCGCGGCACTAATGTCCTTTGGCAAGACATTAATCTACATTTGCCACACTCAACCCAGGTGAGGTAAATGGGTACCTGATAGGATTATTCCTTGAAATGCACTGCCCTGATAACCGCTTTAAGCTAAAGCTAGGGTTCAGTAATAATTTCCTAACTCTTTGGAAGCGCATAGGGATGTTATATAATGTGATATGCCATATACAAGAATATGTATGCAGTAAATTTCAGTATCTTTATTTTAATCATCGTAGAGAATTTTGTCTTCAGCTGTCAGAGATAGTATTAAAGTACAGACTTTTAAAGCACCATGTCATAATGATTTCATTTGTTATAGCTCTTGTAAATGAACAAGTTTAAAGGGCATTCCTACCTTTGAAATAAGTTCATTAATTTGTATTACAGCAGAAAAAAAAAGGGAATAAGAATGGCGATAGAGTGAAATATATTGGGCCAGTACCGTTATAAGAAAGTTATGAATGTTTGAGATATGAGATCACTAAGTCTATGAGAATTTCACATTGGCAGTTTGGTGAAAGGATTATGACATAAACTCTCTCATTTGTTCTGTACAAAAAAGTCATCATTTTTTGTTTTTCTTGTAAGTGCCTTCTCCCTTCGGGCAAGATTCAAAATATATTATAGATAGCAGTGTTATAGTTCCTCTAAAGAGAATTGACCCTCCTGAGTCATAAATTTCATTATTTATATTTGATTTTTAGTAATTTTGTGTGTTGGAACAAATGGAAAAGTTGTCCGCCCCTACATCATAGAGACATTACAGATCCAGCCAAATATGGAAAGCCTAGACCTATAGTGAGTATAACTTTCAAAAATGCATAACTTTCTCATGTTTTGTCCGATTTCATTCAAACTTCACCAGCCTACTTCTCTAATTGTTCTGCTCTCCTCTAGAGTAGTTTGCTGTCGAGATTGGATTTCCCTTTAACTGCAACTAGGCATAGCCAGGAGACACTAGGGGACCATGCCTAGTATCCCTAATGCTAACCAAATTTTGGCCCCAGTTATTTATTTTAAATTTATTTTAAATACATGTATTGATATTTGAATAAGTTGACATAATTGTGTTGATTTGTACAATTTCTAGTGATTACACTTTATTGTGGATATGTTCACTTTCCATGCTATTATCAATTATCTAAAGGTTCTGCCTCCAGCACGATGTTATATGTATTCTCGATTGCCTTTCTTTAAACTATTTAGATAAAATCTTTGATCATGCTATTTTACATTTTCTTATCAAATTCTGTGTTTTTGCTAAGTCTACAGATGTATATTAGACTGTAACATATTTAGATTTATTATTTCTCCTTTTTCTTGTAATTTTCTTTTCTTTATAGTATAGCAGCAGATGAGACATTCATTGTCATTGCACCAGAAGACAAAGAGCCAGAAAAGAAAAAGAAAAGGTTATTAAGAATGAATATGAATATTGTACTAGAACCTTTTACTGATAATAATAATACCCATAGTAATGATAATTTATCTTGTATAGTGCATGATATGATAATAATTAAAGAGAAAATACTTCAAAATAGGTTACAGATTGAGGTTCCTTATATCTGATTAGCATTTGGAATAAATAAAATGTGTATTAAGAGCAGACTGAGATTTGTCTATTGTAGTAATAGAGAGTAATAGAGAGAGATTATTCTGTAAAACTGGGGCAGCATGAGCAATGAATGTTCACCATACATGTATGTTTTTGTCAGAATAGGAAGAACAATAAAGATTTGTTTTGTTTACATGATTGAAGATCTCCTATTGGTCTGTATGCAGTGAGTAACTCATTTGAATAAGAAAAAGCTTGGTGTTGATAATGCAACTTATTCATAGATAATATGAGTAATATGAATTTGTATCTTCAATTATTTTTTTTAAACAACATGATTATTATTAATATATTTTCTTTCTAAATTGTCTTACTTTAAATCTCTTTGCAACACAGTACTTGTGCCTGACCATTAAAGCCCAACCAGAAGTGAGTTAGAAGTGAACAGAGCAGGCCATACGAGGAAACGCCCTTTACATATTTCTCCAGTTACCTGACACAAACTGCCTGGAAGAGTTCACTGGGTTTTCATTGAAATTGGCACTTAACACTCATACATGTATCTGCTTTTTATTTACATCTGGGAAAGGATCTTTACTGCTACCATCTGTAAGAGGAAACTACTTTTTTAACCACGATCCATTGGAGTTGGTTGCTAGGCCAAGCCAAGAGCCAAACACAAGATAGACACTATATTGGTCTGGTTGGGGTAGAAACAAAGTGATACTAACCACTGTCAAAATATGCCAATTATAATCAAGGATCACATGGCCACAAACCTACTTTAGAGGTCTTAGAGTTGATGAGCTTGCATACTGCAGTGTAGATTGATAAAGGATGCTTGACAAGCATGAAGAGATGTCACCGTGCAAGGTATATTTGGAACATGTGTTCTGTTTGTGCTACACCTCTACAATTATTTAAAGAAATGCCTATTGCCAGGTGAATGATTCTTCTTGCCAAACTGAACAAGCTCCATCTCAACTCCTTCCAGACTTTGCTTTCCTCGTTAAAGGGATAATGAAGAGCATACCCCTCAAACATTGCTCTTTTGATCCCAATGATGCTCATTGATTTCCTGCTCATGGCTGTTGAGTTGACTCACTATATGTAGAACAAAATTGGACTTCAAGTCCAATTTAAAGGGCAAAACAACCGTTGTAAAAAAATCATTTGTATGTAAGCAGAAATTAAGAGAAACAGAATGGCAAACGTTTGAAATAAATCAGAATGATGAAAAATGTATGAATGTTTGAAAGATGAGATCACTAAAGCCATGTGAATCTCAAACTGAAAATTTTGACATAGTAGCAATATTGAGGTGCAAGCCTTCAGCTAAATCCTCATTGTTTTGATATAAATAATTGGTATTGGTATTGTGCAATTCTTGGGGCTAAAGGATGATATCCAGGGAAAACACAGGTGAACTTGTTCGTGAACATGCCAGGACAAGCCAACTCGTATATTTATTCATATTTTATATACACACTGTACATGTATTCATTTGTTAGTGTACCTTGAGATCAATTTCTAAATTTTCTGGTTATGTTTTTTTATTTGAGATAAACTGTATTTGAATTTCCCATTTTGTAATAATTAAGGTTGACTAATGGATGATGGACTTCAGCTTAGCAATACACATGTAAATAAATCTATACAAATTTATTTCAATAGTATATACCGGTAGACCATTTCTTACAAGATGATCTCTACTTAAATACATGTACATGTAGCTAATTTAGAGCACTGATCAAAATGTATGTAAAATATAAGAGGAAGCTTGGAACATTGGTAACTATGTTTTTATATGAGACATATTATTTTATGAGGTTAAAGATAATCATAGTATACAAAGACTAATACGACCAGGTTAATTAACTTGTTATATGTACATTCAAGTTTGTTAAGATGAGCTTTCATTGTGGTCTACATGTTTTATCATATACTGTACATTGCTGCTTCTGACCATTCACAGATTTAAAGTTGAGTCGGAATACTTTATTGACCCCAACTTCCCATGATGTACCTTACTCAGTAAATTTAGATTATATTGCTAAATTTCTTGGGAAAGGTAAACATGTTCTTATGATTTGTACATGTGTATATGCCAACTTTTCTTTAAAACATTTCAAGATAAGTATACAAATACATGTACGGTATTCATATTTGTTAGCAGATGTTCCTGCATTTATTGATAAATCAAATACAAAACATTCAAATAACAATAATAGTATATAATATAATTGATTTACATAAAGAGTGACAACTGGAATACACACATAAAAATGCATATGATTGAAAACTTGAAAGTATATATAGAGGTAAGTAAAAGAATCAAGATAAACGCAGAGGCCAACTATCATAAGCATGAATGCTTGAGTCCATGGCAGCCGGGAAAGGTGGGGGTGGGGGGGGGGGGGGTACATGGCGCTGTTATAGGAATATGTAGGAGAACAGAGAGTCATGTATGAAAGTGCATTTAACTTTAACAGTGTAAAGTGTCATTTACTTCATTATATTATCTTGTTCAATATCTTTGTTTTTTTCAGGAGTATGTGGGCTAAACTGCCTAAAAAAAGATGAAGAAACAAATAACTTGGACCCCCCCCCCCGCCAAAAAAAGAGACTTTTGTATAGTTATTTGTGTATTTAATAACAGTGTAATTATTTATTAGGTTCAAATACTATGCAATAACTTTGTGTGTATATGTATATATATATCTATAACATACAGTGTATTTGTGTATTTATTTCCAAGAGAGTCACAACAAGTTTTGTGCATTTGTCAAATTTCTTTCATTGCATTATGAATAATTATTCTGGGTAATTAATGCATGTAATAAAGCTCAAAGCCATGATCCAACTGAGGCACGTAGCTTGTTATTGTTCAAATCTCACCTGCCCAGGACAAAAAATTAAAATACATGTACTACTACTACACTGTGTGCAACACACCCCCTTCGTGGAGAAAGGAAAGTAGAAGAGAGAACACCTTTAACAAATATGGGAGATAAAGAAATAATTAAATAAAGAGGAAAATGATGAGGAAGATGAATGAGAATTGCATGAGATTAAAATGAGTACATAGATCAAAATATAGAGAAAAAGAGTGGCATATGGATTTAATATTTGTTGGTGTTTGTTAGGGGATGAGATGATGTGCTGTGAGTGCTGCTTTTGCAAGTAGTGTCGAGTGACGAAAACATTGGCTCTTTAAGTTACTTACTTTCATATTAAAGTAGATACAATGAATGGCAGTCTATTTTCATTCAATGTTATCTTAATAACTTAAATTAATAACATTTTACCTCAAAGGGTAAAGTTGACATTACACTTTCCAGCTAACAAATTTTGTATTGCCGAAGATTTTGATCCCTCCTTTTCTCAAAAGTTTGAGCTAAATGGCTTATTTTTAGTATTTGATACCATGAGTAGTTCAGCTGGGCATGTGCCCAACAAATTTATTCTTGAGTCAGATGTAACAAAGAATTACCAACTCGTGGACAAAGGGGCAAACAGATTCAGATCTAGATTCACCTTCAAAATAAATTTATTTACCATTAAAAAAAAATAGCAAAAACATAAATAACATGACAAAAATATATTTTTGATAACAAAGATGTTTCAGGAAAATCTCAGGAAATAATGGTTGAACTGTACTAACTTCATAATATAATCAATATATGATTCACAAGTTATGACCTTCATGATAATTGATAAATATTTTTGTAGAAAATAGTAGGATATGTATAAAAGAAAAAGAAGCTATGCTTGTTTATTACATGCATAAAAACTAACGTTAGGTAACGTATGAGTGGGTCATTGAAAATGAACCAGGGCCACAATCACCACATCTTCCCTACATATCAAAGCATGCAATGTTACTATCATCATATATTATAATCAAACAATTATAATGTTAATATGTTATTTTACCATTATTTTCTTTCACATACAAATACAGTACAAAAACATTGATAATATGTACATGTCATGTACATATATTTGTTTTAACGTATCCCTAAAGAGACTGATTGATTGATTGAAATGGTATGTACATGTATTAAATAATAAACACACATGGCCGCTAGGCAGCTGGATTAAGTTGGATATACATGCACCATGCAATGCAATACAAGTTGGGGAAAACAGCAAAATGCAATCGGTTATTACATATTCATAATTTACAAGCATATCATAACAAATGTATAGCAAAATAAACATATGGACTATTGCACCAAAGAGAGTAGAGAGAAAAGGAGAGAAAGAGATAAAAAAAAAAAAAGAGATATATACTTGGACAGAAAGAAAAGTTAAGGCAAAAAGGGAGAAAATATAGATAAAAGAAGAGAAAGAGAGTGATTACTATATAGACAGCTAGAGATAAAAAGAAAAAGTGAGAAAGCAAAAGAAAGAGAGAGAAGACAGAGAAAGAGAGTAATTGGTAGAAATATAGAGGGAGAGTGAAACAAAAAAGAAATATCCATACATTATATCAAAATGTAGAACAAAGTCATTCTCCAGTTGTAGTCCAAGAGAGGATAGTAAACAGTAAACAAATATACTCATTATGGCCCGAATTCACAAAGGAGGTATCTAAACCCATAACAATGTTTTGTAAATGTTACACAAGGTCAGTATGTGTGACATAGGTACCAACACTTTTGACAAGCACTATATATGGCTGGTCTTTGACCAGATATTACAAAGAGGGAAATAGAGAACAAACAAAAATTATTTGATGTAAAATCTTTTCTCTGATTATTGTGAGATATAAACCTCATCATTCTTTGAAATATATAATACAAATGCGCTTTCTTCATTTTTAACCTACAACAACAGTGTACCATGCAATTGTTTATACTCTAAAGATATATGTGTCTTAATTGAGCATGAAACAATTTGTATTTAAAAAAAAAGATTTAATATCATGATTGAAATTTATTGGCAACATTTTCTGTTAATAACAATAATAATTATAACAATAATTATAATAACAACAATAACAATTACACTACTACTACTAACAATAATACATGTACATGTAATTGGAATTTAATTATATAGGGCATTTCCACAAGATATAAGGCACTACAAAGTACCAAATGTACTTTACCAATTTGAGTAAACATATTTACATTTATTTGGGTGATGCTCTATTATCTGCTGATTATAAGGTGATTTGGTAGGCAACAAGATCAGCATGTTTTTTAGCTTGTGCTTATGAAATCCAATCCATCTCAACACAAATGATGGATCAAAATTAGACTTTTGATGGCTATTCAATTATATGCTCATCAAAAACAATATCTTGAGAGTACAAATAATCATTTCCTACACAGCTACATGTTATATTCTGAAGACCATAGAAAATGTACCTGTATCCTATGCCATTGGAACATTATGTGATAAGAAATTCTAAAATTCTAATTTGTAATTTCAAAATATTGTTAAAAAAGTGCAAACGTGTATCCAAACTATACAATTATACCCATTTAAGAATTCATTGAGTAACAACAATCCAGCCATTACTAGTTTTCCTAAGTACCACTTACAAATATTGTGTTGTGACAAATATATCCAACTAGTCAAACAGCTAAAGACACCCTGGGTTACCGATGAATTTGTTAGTTTGTCTCATGAGAGAGATAAGCTTAGCAAAAAGGCTGATAAATCAAACCATCCACAAGCTTGGAGACATTTTAAAACCTGCCAAAATCATGAAAACAGCCTGAAAACTACCTAAAAGAAGGCATATTGTCATCGGCAAATCTTATCTAAGAAGAGTAACCCTTCTGAATTGTGGAAAGTTCTCAAGATTCTTACCCCTAACTCAACACATGGTGAATTAACCCACTAGCTTAAACCTACGTACCCTACATGCTTGTTCTGAGACTGAGCCGCTCATATTTGCCAATGCTTTCAATCAGTTCTTTGCATAAATTAAGAGTTAGACTGCTTCCAAATATCCTCTACAGAATATCCACCTTTCTTTTGAAAATCAAGCTGACATTGCTCAAAATGGCTTTTCTTTGGTTGATGTGACATAATATTTTGTGCTTAAAGAATGACAATCTGTAAAAACTTATGAGGCAACAGGCTTTATTAGAGAAAACCTCACCCCAAGAAATAACTTTGACTTAGAGATTTATTAGATTTTCTTGATAACGTGACGTACTATGTGAAGTCGTTTATCAAGTAAATGTATTCAAATTTATGGATGCTTCTTTCCCAGACGTGTGTGGTGATGAAGCATTTCATTTTACCTGCTATTATCCTTTGTACTACAATTGCCAGAATGCAAATTGCATAAATAAGTTGGTGCTCTTCTGGGGTCAAGGTTTTTCATGTCATGCTAAAAGCCTAAAAGGCATCACATCATGCCAAGAATATCTTCATTTATATATCTCTTGTAAATTTTCATAAGGAACAATTTACATCAAATGGCAGGAATACATCTCATTTTTCAAAATACCTTCACTTATTCTTTGGGGTGAGGTTTCCTTTAATTATAGGTTATTAAAATTGGCTGCACCTATCAACAAAAAAACAATCACCAAACTTTTTAATCTATCTCTCTAATTAGGAGTAATTCCTGAAGAATGGAAGCAGGCCAGGATTACCCCCATTCACAAATGTGGGAACACAGACAATGGAATACAATTATACAGTATACAGATGTGAATATCATCTGATAACGATTCTACCAACAATCATGAAGGTGTTTAGAAAAGACTGTGCACACCTAGTTTACATGACTATTTGTTGGATTCGGACTTGCTTACTCTTACCAATTCATGTTTCCGGAAGGGTTATTCCACTAATACTGCATTGGCATATGTTAGTGACTTCTTATACAGTAATATGGATAGTGGTAAAATAACGGATTTGATTTGATTCCGTGAACTACCGGAAGTTACTATACGCATACTAAAAAGATTTTAGAGATAAAATCATGCTCAGAATACCACCCAAGAAGTTTTCAAATACTGGTCAACTGCGATAACTTGGAACAAGGGAAGCACACATCTGTGATTGCAGATAAGTTTGGCCTGTAAAGCTGAGCACTAAGTTTAACACCACTTGATAAGACGAAGAGTGACGGCTTGAAGACAGAACTACCAGATGACAGGCCTTATGCTGTTTGGTAAGAACGGCTCTGTGTACTCTGTACTCTGTGTACAAAATGGACATTTTGCAGGATCTGTAAAGAAACCATAATGAAACTCACATTGTCATAAACAAATTGTGTTATTTCAATAAAATCCAAACTAGTACGGATGACTTGCCTTATGAAATTGGTATGTATAAAGACTACAAGTTCACATTATTGATATCATTATCTTACACCTTTTTTGTATTCACTGCTGAAAAGAAGCGGACGCTACCTACTTGATCCGCACCTAAAAAGTTCACATTATTGATATCATTATCTTGCACCTTTTTTGTATTCACTGCTGAAAAGAAGCGGACGCTACCTACTTGATCCGCACCTAAAAAGTTCACATTATTGATATCATTATCTTGCACCTTTTTTGTATTCACTGCTGAAAAGAAGCGGACGCTACCTACTTGATCCGCACCTAAAAACATGCAACCTTTCAGAGTAGCTATAGAGTGTAGCACCTCCCATGCGCATTTGTTCCCATGGTTGTGCACATTGTTGTACATGAAATGCCTAATAATCCTATGCTGTCTGATTTTTTTCCGCTACCTTGTCATGTAACATACAGCCAACCCATTCACAGAAACAGTGCTGGTTAACAGTTTGGGTACACCCTAGATTTTGAAATGTGTTTTAAATTCAGTGTTTGTGTCCCACATACATAATTAGCTTGCTTGGGCTCTAAAAAAGATTGAAACCAGTTTCCATTTTTACCGGTATGTTTCTACATTGCACTAAAACACGATTCAGGTATGTTGAATTAAAAAAGTCCCTTCCATAGACCCTCCCCCCCCCCCCCCAGCCTCAAACAAAAGTCTTTCCTGGGAGGATGATTGTCTGAGGTGAATGTCCGGGGGGGGGGGGGGGGTATTTGTCCTGGGGGTAATTGTCCCAATTGGTAAGTGTTAAAAGGGTAATTGTCCTGAGGGGAGTAGTACCGGGGGGGGGGGGGGGGCGGTTGAACTTCTTTCATGAATATTATACTGTTCTTAAAGCTAATCTTGAGCTCTGGTATGGGAATTGTATTTTGAGAGAAAATTGTCAAGATCTAGTCTGGATTGTTTATCCTGCAGTAGATGTACATGTAGATGGTGTTTCCTACAAATTTTGGGCAGAGTCAGGCGATGTTTTTTTTCAAGAAGAGAATGTGCGATCACTGCCACTGAGGTGATTGGGAGCTTCCCCCAGGCGGTACGTACCCTATTTGAACAACTTTAGATGACCTTTGTCAAAGGATGATCCCTACCAATTTTGGTTTAAATCTGACCTTGCATTTTAGAAGAACTAAAATATGTAAATCAGATGGCATTTAAAAAGGAAAAACATTAATGGGCAGTGCCCTTACCAAGCCCCCTCCCCTGGAGGAGTCAGTAGCCCTTCATAAAAATGTTATATCTCCCTACCTGAGGAATGCTTCCAATCAAGTTAAGTCAAAATTGCCTAATTATGGCCATAGGGGTATTTGGGAGACGCTGCACCCACCCCCCCCCCCCAACCCTAGATTTTGAAATGTGTTTTAAATTCAGTGTTTGTGTCCCACATACATAATTAGCTTGCTTGGGCTCTAAAAAAGATTGAAACCAGTTTCAATTTTTACCGGTATGTTTCTACATTGCACTAAAACACGATTTAGGTATGTTGAATTAAAAAAGTCCCTTCCATAGACCCTCCCCCCCCCCCCAGCCTCAAACAAAAGTCTTTCCTGGGAGGATGATTGTCTGAGGTGAATGTCCGGGGGGGGGGGGGGGGGTATTTGTCCTGGGGGTAATTGTCCCAATTTGAACAACTCAAGATCTCCCTTTCTAGCACGTGATGCCTAAAATTTTGGTAAGAAACCAGCCATGGATTTTTAAAGATGAAGAAGAAAATGTAAAAAGTTTACATCACACAATTTGCGATTAAATAGCTCACTTGGGCAATTGAGCTTGGAAACTTGATGGGCCTAGGTTAAAGCTAGTAACAAGAAAATTTTTAATTTACAACAAAAATAAATGGTACAGTTGCAAAAGTAGGGAAAAATACACATTTAAGATATTTCAGCAACAACAAATTTAACACACATCTATGGAAGTGATTTAAATCACTGATTTTGACAAAATAAATGAATCAAGGTGATCTAAATCATCCCTACCCTTGATGAAACTAGGCTTTAAAATGACAAACAAAACCTTCTACCCAACAGCACCTTGGCAAAATTGCCAAATTTGCTTGGGCAAATGATGCTTTATGTATTAGTATCCAAAATACCTCACAGTAATATTAATTTTTTACATGTATTTCGGCATTGTGACAAACTAATGCCTCAGTCACACCTCTGCGTATGTTGCTGCGTATTGCTGCGCTCTGCGGCGTATATCAATACGCAGCCGTGCCCAGCAATACGCAGCAAATTTGAAGGTAGCAGTCACACTATTGCGTATCTAGCTCGTAGGTAGCTCATATGCCGCTCGTACAAAGACTGCCTACGGTTGCCTATGGCCACGCTATAGCTCATAGCAGTACGATTCAATACGCAGTTTGCTCGCCATGTTGCGTATGTAGCTCGTTTGCTGCTTTTTTGCTGCTCGTTAGCCGCTTGCACCAGTTGGTCTTGTTGCGTGTCCGCTTGCTTTAGCTCGTCTGTTGTTCGTACTGATGCGTGTCGGCTCGTGCTACAGCGTACCAGCTCGTTTGGGCTGCGGCATATGTAAAAATACTAGTCCTTTTGAGGGACTGGGCATAAACATCTATCTTCTGACGATTCTACATCTACAAGAAAAATAAATCTGATGACAATAATGGCCCTGCAGCAGAGCTCTGCTTTGGTTCAGCTGGAAGAAGAGAGGCGAATGAAGATTATGAGCAAGGGAAGCTGCTGAATGAGCTGCATCAACAAAGTATCCCTCGGAGTTGTTGGGTGCGGTCCTGGATCTACTGGAGGAAGGACCAGGGACAATTCGACCAACTGATGAGGGAACTGGAAGACGAGGACCAAGAGGCATTCACGGACGTGTTGAGGCTAACCCCTGAAATGTTTAAAGAGTTAGAGCAGAGACTACATGAAAGACTGGAGAAGTGGGACACCTTCTTCAGGAAAGCCCTCTTACCCGCACTGAAGCTGGCCAGGGTGACAGCTACAAGACACTAATGTATAGCTTTAGGGTAGCCCATAATACCATTTCACTCATGGTACGTGAGATATGCACTGCCATCATTGAGGAATACGGTGATAAGCTGGTGATGTGACCTACCAGCCCACAGGAATGAAAAGCAGTCACACAGGGCTTCGAAGGCTGCTGGAATTCTCCCCAAACCTTGGTGCTTTGGACGGCAAGCATGTTGCAATCAAGTGCCCTGAGGATAGTGGGTCAATATTTTACAACTACCAGTGTTTCTACTCTATTGTACTCATGGCCCTGGTCGACGCCAAGTACAGATTTGTGTGGATAGATGTCGGAAACGAAACCTCTGATGCACAGCTCTTCAACTCGTGTGAACTAAAACAACGTCTTAAATCTGAAACCCTTGGAGTGCCTCTGCCAGAGCCTCTGTCCAACGATGATGAAGACATCCCCTACTTCTTTGTGGCAGACGAGACCTTCGCCATGACAACATGGCCAATGAAGCCGTACGCAAGGAGGGCTATGGCTAAACAAGAGAGAATTTACAACTACCGGCTGTCCCAGGCAAGGAGATTGGTGGAGAATGCTTTCGGCATTCCTACCAACCGATTTCAGTGCCTGCTGAGTACTGACCACTCTCCGACAAACCCCTTCAACCGTCAGGACCATGGTATAGGCAAGCTCCTTCTCTTGGTCACTTGAGAAGTTGACTAGGTCTTTCCGCGGCTTCTTCGCCATGTTCGTCTCGTGTTCACCCAGCGATGGTGACTCCGGAGCCGGCGGGGCGATGGGACCTAGGCAGCTTGACTGGCTTCGTCCTCGTCGTCACCCCCCCCCCCCCCCCTTTTCGCTTTGGCTTTCGGCATCTTTTCAGTGTTCAGTAGTTGTATATTTTTCAACTGTTGACTGCAGTATGATTCCACCCCGCCTTATATTGCCGATACGCAGCGCATAGGCAACTAATCGCAGTGATAGCGAGCTAAAGCGTGCGGCAACCAGCAACTGCGAGCTAAAGCAAACGCTGTACGAGGTAGACTCGCAGCGTAGCGAGTGGCAATCGCAAGGTTTTTTGGCTGCTGTGAGCGATGTGCGAGCAACAGCGCAACAATACGCGCAATCATGCATATAGACACGAGTTAAAGCGAGGTAATTCGTGCAGGAAACGCAGCTACACATGCTCCGAAAAAAGAGGTGCGTATGATTGCGTTTACCTGCGCTAAGCTACACGCTGTCGCTCGCATTCACTGGTTGCCACTCGTATCCGCTCGTATGCGATTTGACCTTGCGTTTGCTTGCGATAGTTTAGAAAATTTTAAAACTAGCGAGCGACCAACGCAGGCACATGCGCTAGTTTGCGTATTGAGTACGTAGTGAGCATGTTTTATTGCGCGTTATTGGGTATGACTGCCTTTGTCTGCGTTCGGGTAATACCCAGCAATACGCAAGCCAAATACGCAAAGGTGTGACTGAGGCATTAGACATTGTAAGACATAAGTTGTGTCATGTTTTTCTAGACATTATTCTACACCATACTGTAGAGCAGGGTAGAGCAAGGAGAAAATATCTGCCTACCGGTAATTCCAATTGGACACATATTTTCTGGCTGATTTCAATACCCCAAAAGCGATGGACAGTTGTAACTCCTCCAAGTATTATAATTTCTATGAGATATTTTGGAAAGCTACATGTATGTACATTATTGTTTATGGAAGTAAAGGATGATTTACAGTTAATCTGGAACAATAAAAAAATGTGCTAAAGTATCATTCAAACATACCACTTTGTCTACAATCAAAATAAATTGGAAGACATATTTACTTAGGTTCAGTTGGAGAGAGAAAAAACATTATTTTCAAAAAGGCCCAAAGTTCTTACATGCTCCGAGTCATCCATCTTCTATCCACTCAGAACTGATCTCTTGAAAATGGGTACATGGCATGGTCGATTCCTTGAAGAAGATCTCTAACGTTGAGGCACTGTGATTTAAAATACAGACAAATTGCTCATTATAAGACAGTCAAAAATAATGTCATTATGCTGATACGGTACATGACCGACAATATGTTACCATATTATTTGTATGGCATGGCTGCAGATAGACCTTAAATCAGTTTATTTGTTCTAGGAAATTGCCTTTTGTCAAAATCCAAATACAGTACCTAAAATCATGTGTTGGCTGACATTAATATATCAAAATAAACAGACAAACAAAAACAAAACATACAAACACTTACAAGAGTACATCCCATCAAGTTTATATCTATTTGTAAATCCATTACTTGTAAATAATACCAGTAAAAAAGAATTTAAATGGACAATGGATACTCAATTCAATACAATTCAGTTCACCAACGTAAGTGTATAATAGAGAGGGGTAAAGGCTAGATGATAATATGAAGTTAATATCCCCTACATGTAGTCTTAATAAACAATAATACAATAATACAATAATACTCGGGGGGGGGGGGGGGGGGGTTACAGCCCCCAGCTGCGTTTGCCAATGGCAGAGCGGTCTCTGTTATCACAGATGAAAGCGTGAAAAGATGTTGTATTTCAGTATCAATAACATGGATTAGGCCCGCCATGTGTATTGTATCGACAGAGAAAATACTAATCAACATTAAAAAAGACTCTCCGTTATGTAACCCTATTCTTGCCTTCCTTTATGAATAACTTGTATGGATGGCCTGGTGGTCTCCATCATTGGCGTAGATCCTTACTTGATACCTATTTTTGAGGGGGGATGAATGAATAGATCCCCCCCCCCTCCCCCCTGAACAACATTAAGTAATGATCTACGACACTGGTCTCCATTATCAGAAAGGGAAAGGGGCACATATTGTTAAAAGGAAATTATCATAGGTGAAAAGGGGCACTGATGAGAATAAAAAAAGGGGCACTTATACTGAAGGATAAAGAGCAATATTTTAGAAAAGAAAAAGGGCATGTGTCAAAATAAGAGGGGAAGTTATTAGAGGTGAAAAAGGACACTCATTAGTGATGAAAAGAGCACTTATCAGGAGGGGAAGGGGCATTTGTAAAAGTAAAACCAGTATCTCTCAGATTTGAATAGGGGCAATTATAAGAGGTGAAGGGGGCACTTATCTGAAGTGAAAAGGAGTAACTTCTCGTACCTGAAAAGGGATACTTACTAGAGATTAAAAAGGGCACTTTAAATGCGAATGGGAAATGGACACATGTCAAATTAAAAGGGGCACTTATCAGAGGTGAAAGGAACACTTTTTGGGTACTCTGAAAAGTGAGGGGAGGGGGCATGGGTATATTGTCTGCAAGATTCAGACTAATATTCGCAAAATATGAATTAAACGCTTCTGCTTTTACTATCATTGAGCAGAACATTCCGTTTTTTTTTGCACTATCCACCAAACAGAAGGAATAGCATGTGTAATTCAGTACAATATCATCATAATCTTGAATTAACCAAAACTATTTAAGATATGCTTTACTATACACATTCCATAGATCCTGGTGGGCATGGGCTGCAGCACCTTCTCTTTGGAATACTTTACCATTTAATTTGAGAATCATAACTTCCTTAGAGACCTTTAAATCAAAGCTGAAATCTTATCTTTTTTAACGATACCTGTATTTGGCACTATGACACTCATCCAAACTCTCTCATTCTTTATATTTTTTTTGTGGGCCTCGGAATAGAATTGTCTAGATAGACGGCACGATATAAATGCCTATTATTAATTTTAATGGAGATGATATCAGTCGATCTTTCTTCAATTTAAATTTACAAAATTTCCATCAAAGGTACGCATCAGATTGCACTATTTGAAGTGAAAAATTGCAAAAGCTCCATACTGTGTCAAACTCAAGGCTCAAAATACACGGGGGTAGCGGGCGCTTGGCCCCTGTGAGCTTCATAATCGCCTCCGTCAGATTGCTCACAGGGACGATTGCAAATCTGGTGATTCCAAAAGACCAGCAAATAATAAACCTCGACCAGTAAATCAACCGAAAGCTATATTTAGTAAAAGGAAACCAGTTGGCGAGGAGGCGACTGCATGGGCTTGGACCAGAAATTTCGTACAGAGGTAGGAGATCTGACCATTAGAGCATACAGTAACTTGTAAAGTTGTAAGAGGGAAATAATACAGAAAATGATGAAATAGCAAAGAATTTAGGAGTATCATGGGTACCACCAATTCAATGGAAATTTGTATTTAAAAAAAAAGCCCCCGTCAGTACTAAAAGAGCCCCCGTGAGAAGGCTCACGGGGGCTCTTTTTTTGGAAGAGCCCCCGTGGAAAAAAAATTAATTTGAGCCCTGGTCAGACTGAAATCAGAGTTTTGTTTTCTCTTTATTTAATACAGAGCCTGTATTCAGCAATCCCCCTCCCCCATTCCAACTGAAATTAAAGATTTGTTTTCTCTTTCTTTTATACAGAACATGTATTAGGCGAGCCCCACCCCCCCCCCCCCCCCCCCTCCCCTTCAACCTGTGGTTACGCCAGTCACATTTCCCTACTCTTACTCGACTATGATATGTCTGACTTAAATTATAGTTTTGTTTTCTCTTTATTTAATAAAGAGCCTATTTTAAGCGAGCCCTCCCCCTCCCAATTCCCCCCGTGGCTACGCCAATCAAATTTTCCTACTCTTTCTTGAATATTAGAGTTCCGACTAAATTGAAGGTTTGTTTTCTCTTTATTTAAAACAGAGCTTGTATTGGTGGGTGAACCCCTCCCCCATTCCTCATTTAATACAGAGCCTGAATTAGGTCTCACCTAATACAGGCTCAGTACTAAAAGAGCCCCCATGAGAAGGCTCACAGGGGCTCTTTTAGTACTGAGGGGGGCTCATATTTTGTACAAATTTCCATTGAATTGGTACCCATGATACTCCTCAATTCTTTGCTATTTCATCATTATCACTTATTTAAGTCAGCATTTTCCCTCTTACAAACTTACAAGTTACATATCTCTTACTGACTGTCATCCCGTCATGACAATCCCTCCATTTCAGCACATTAGTTCTGCACATTATTTCCTCCTCATTATTCGGAGCAAACTTATTCACATTCTTTCTTCACTTTAACCCTATTTAGCCCGGGCTATTTTGAAACTGCATAGCCCAGGGAGGGGGGGGGGCTTCTAAGGCCCCCCCCCCCCTATGATCTCGGCCGTGAAACGAAAATTTGCATACATGTCAAGTGAAGTGTATAGAATACTATGGTAATTTCAATTTTTTTGAAAAATTCACTCATTTGCATATTTATGGTAATTTATGCAAATAAGGTCATCAAATTCACATTTTTGCCCATGAAACAGACATTATTCATATTTAAGCATTCTTTCTCACTACATATATTTGTTAGACCATTTGGAATGATAAAGAGTAGGGAAATGCGATTAGCGTAGCCACGGGGTGAAGAGGGAGGGGGGGGGGGGAGCTCACCTATGAAGGTAATGTATAAAATAAAGAGAAAACAAAGTAATTTCAGTCTGACTTTTTATGGTCGAGAAAGAGTTGGGAAATGTGATTAGCGTAGCCATGGGGAATGGGTGGGGGGGGGGGGGGGAGCTCGCCTATGAAGGTCATGTATTAAATAAAGAGAAAACAAAGTAATTTCAGTCTGACTTTTTATGGTCGAGAAAGAGTTGGGAAATGTGATTGGCGTAGCCATGGGGAATGGGTGGGGGGGGGGGAGGGCTCGCTTAATTCAGGCTCTGTATTAAATAAAGAGAAAACAATCTATAAGTTTAGTCGGACGTATCATATTTGAGAAAGAGTAGGGAAATGTGATTGGCGTAGCCACGGGGTGAAGGGGGAGGGGGGGGGGGAGCTCACCTATGAAGGTAATGTATAAAATAAAGAGAAAACAAAGTAATTTCAGTCTGACTTTTATGGTCGAGAAAGAGTTGGGAAATGTGATTGGCGTAGCCATGGGGAATGGGTGGGGGGGGGAGGGCTCGCTTAATACAGGCTCTGTATTAAATTGGGAATGGGGGGGGAAGGGCTCGCTTAATTCAGGCTCTGTATTAAATGGGGAATGGGGGGGGGGGGGGAAGGGCTCGCTTAATTCAGGCTCTGTATTAAATGGGGAATGGGGGGGGAGGGCTCGCTTAATTCAGGCTCTGTATTAAATGGGGAATGGGGGGGGGGGGAAGGGCTCGCTTAATTCAGGCTCTGTATTAAATAAAGAAAATACAAATCTTTTATTTTAGTTGGAACTCTCATATTCGAGTAGGAGAGAGGAAAAGGTGATTGGCGTAGCCAAGGAGTAAAGGGAGGGGAGGGCTCACTTAATACAGACTCTGCATTAAATAAAGAGAAAACAAAACTATAAGTTTAGTCGGACGTATCATATTTGAGAAAGAGTAGGGAAATGCGATTGGCGTAGCCACGGGGTGAAGGGGGAGGGGGGGGGGGGAGAGCTCGCCTATGAAGGTCATGTATAAAATAAAGAGAAAACAAAGTAATTTCAGTCTGACTTTTTATGGTCGAGAAAGAGTTGGGAAATGTGATTGGCGTAGCTATAACTATAAGTTTAGTCGGACGTATCATATTTGAGAAAGAGTAGGGAAATGTGATTGGCGTAGCCACGGGGTGAAGGGGGAGGGGGGGGAGCTCGCCTATGAAGGTCATGTATAAAATAAAGAGAAAACAAAGTAATTTCAGTCTGACTTTTTATGGTCGAGAAAGAGTTGGGAAATGTGATTGGCGTAGCCATGGGGAATGGGTGGGGGGGGGGGGGGGGGGGGGAGGGCTCGCTTAATTTAGGCTCTGTATTAAATGGGGAATGGGGGGGGGGAAGGGCTCGCTTAATTCAGGCTCTGTATTAAATGGGGAATGGGGGGGGGGAGGGCTCGCTTAATTCAGGCTCTGTATTAAATGGGGAATGGGGGGGGGGGGAGGGCTCGCTTAATTCAGGCTCTGTATTAAATGGGAATGGGGGGGGGGAGGGCTCGCTTAATTCAGGCTCTGTATTAAATGGGGAATGGGGG